GAGTTGGCCAGATCATGGGCACTTACATTCTCAGCAGTGCCAAAAGAAACCAGGCCTGACGGGTTGTCGATGGGCGAGTAGGTTCCCCGTGGAGCCCATCGCCAAGGCAAATCTAGGTCACGAATGAGGTCCGTCGCGCGGGAGGAGAGGAAGTTGGCCATTTTGATAACGGTTTGAGGTGTGATTTGCTTGGAACATAACGATGCGAGGCAAGAGAGGGGGAGAGACAGGTCATAAGGTCAGTCTATTGCTGGCTGGGTCAGCCAGCAACGAGGAATCTTGCTCATCTCCAGGATGATGCTCCTCCACAAACAAACCGAAATCTTCTCACCGATGTACTGAGACGCCTCTCATTGGTCAATTGTGATCCAACCAGGGAGGAGGAAGCGTATCACTCCACCATTACCCAAAATGGATAATGCTGATCCCTGCCTACCCCACAAAGTAAAGTAGATGGTTCAAGATAACACGAGTCAAACGACCTCTGAGATAAGTCTAACGAACTTTGCACCGCTGGTCCTGTTCTGTGATGATACTTGCTCACTTGAACAATGCGTAAAGCCCTCCCTCGCTACACTAGGTCAGACACCCCTCCCAACATTCTGCCCAGGCGTGTTCTAAGGAGCGAGATAAGGATCGAGCGTGATCCATGTGACGAGGCGCTCTTCTTCCCAAAAGAGTGAATGGTCAAGGGACCTTGGCGGCTTGTCTCCCACGACGTTGATAAGCGGCGTGGTATAAATCCCCCGAAGCCACCCTCGAGAAAATCATGCCATTTCCTTTCTACAACTGTCTACTCAGCACTCAGACTAGTTGATAGTTGTTTCCTGCTGTCCTAACTACATACTGTCAACCCACATGGAATCGCATAACTTCCAGATGGACAAGCACAAGGCAGATCAGGGGTCGGAGGTCATCCAACCCTCCCACAATCATGTGCTGCCAGAGGATACCAAGCTGGGGGACATCGACAAGTCCCTCCAAGCTGGTGAGCTGACTATGGAAGAAGACACAGCTGGAGGGATGGGCCGTCACTTGGGTCTGTTTTCTACCACGTTGTTGATGTAAGTCAGAACTACACATCGAACTAACTTAACTCTGGACTCACACCTTTCAAGCCTAGGCCGTATCATTGGTACTGGAATATTTTCGACTCCCTCTTCCATTACCAAAAGCACGGGCAGTGTCGGAGCTGCCTTGCTCATCTGGGTTCTCGGCTTTGCCATCTCCATGGCTGGCATGTTTGTCTGGCTCGAGTTCGGGTCAATGTTCCCTCGTAGTGGAGGAGAAAAGGTCTACCTCGAGGCATCATACCGATACCCGAAATCCCTTGCCACAGTTGTGTATGCTGTATATACTGTCTCGCTCGGCTTCACTGGTACGTAATTTCAGAGCAAGATGAAAGAATAGGCCGTAACTCACACTCCCCTCAGCGACTGGTGCCATATCTTTCGCCAGCTACATGTGGGTAGCTGGCAATAAGACCTCTTCCGAGTGGCAGCAAAGAGGCGTGGCGGCTGCCGCTGTAGCAGGCACATGCCTGATTCACTCGTTTGCTCCCCGATTTGGTATCATGTTTATGAACGCAATCTCAAGCCTCAAAGTCTTCACCCTCTTGTTCCTCATCGTGTCTGGCTGGGCAGTCATGGGTGGCGCGATTTCCAAAGAGAAGATCCCCGACCCTTTTGCATCCTTCGAGAATGCATTCGAGGGCTCCTCTCGTGGAGGCAACGCTTATGCCACTGCACTTTTCAAAGTCTTGTTTGCCTTTGCTGGCTGGCAGAATGCTGCTTACGTTTTGAACGAGGTGAAGGATCCCGTGCGAACCCTTCGTATCGCGGGACCTGTTGCCTTGACCATCAGCGGTGTCCTATACTTGCTGGCCAATGTCTCATACTACGCTGCGGGCACACCAGCTGAGATTTCCAAGTCTGGGGTCACAGTCGCAGCTTACTTCTTCGAAACCGTCTTCAACGACGTTGCGAAGAGGGCCTTTAGTGTTCTCATAGCATTTTCTGCACTGGGAAATGTCATGACGGTCACTTATGCCCACTCACGTATCAATCAGGAGCTGGCGAAGGAAGGAGTCATTCCGTTCCCTCAATTTTGGGCCAGCACGTGGCCTTTCGGAGCACCAAGCGCTGGCCTTCTCTTGCACTTTATCCCCTCCTTCATCATGATTGTCGGCGTGCCCTTTGGTGATGCCTACAACTTCATCATCAATATCGAGGGCTACGCTAGGTCTATTCTATTCCTGTTAGTTGTGACGGGTTTGTTCTGGCTTCGCAAAACGAAGCCCCTGGCGCATCGCCCCATCCGCGTCTGGTTACCTGTGGCTGTCTTGTTCCTCGTCGGACAGGCATTCTTACTCGTCGCGCCATTTCTCGCACCAGACAAGGGAACAAGCGACACAAGAATTGTATACTGGGCCTACCCTCTCGTTGGAATCTCCGTCATTATCGCGGGAGTCATCTACTGGTTTATATGGAAAAAAGCCCTGCCGAAGTTGTTCAATTACCAACTGAAGGAGGGGAAACAAGTCCTTGAAGACGGCACTGTCGTTACCAGATTTCTCAAGGTAGCGAATTGATGTTTATAAGGGGGAGATGAACCTTCTCTATAGAATGATCATTAAATTAGGCCTGATGACTTGAATTAGCGGGCATAGGGGAGTTGTTGACCTCTTGAAGTGCTACATTTAACGCTCTTCAATCCACGTTGCCGTAACACCGTACCCATTTTAAAAATACAAATGTCATATTTTTGAATGCGGACAAAACAGGATGCAAAGCCCCTTTTCAATATCCACTGACTCATCGAATGGGCTAGCGACTTACCTAGTATACATGATCGGTAGCCCCTAGAAATTGAAACGGGGCAATATTTTTTCGCTGGTGTGTGATTCCTTGAATTTTAGCATTGAAGAAATGTCTCGGAATCTGCAAACATTTGCATCATGGCTAAGTTGAAGACCAAGTTGGTTCAGTGTATCAACTGTAAGGCGTGTAAAGTGTTCTCCCGCCCGAAACCTTTCATCTTTTCGGCCGTGAAAGTGCCAGAATTATCAAAAATTGCTCTCGCTTCAATACTTGTATTCCAAGATACGTAACCTGTGCTGTAGATATCTCCTTGGGATAGCTTTGGTCTTGTGCCTTTCCCCAGCAGCAATTTAATCGTACCCTCGTGCCCTCCCTCTTGTGCAAGGTATAGTGGGGTCCGGCCAATCTCATATTTAGCCTTCGTGTCAGCTTCTGTGCTTTTCTTTAGCAGAAGCTTCATAATAGCCTCTTGCCTAGTCACGGCTGCAAGTTGAAACGGGGTTATGCGCTCTCGATCCTTGGTTTCGAGTTCAAAATTGCCGCCTTCGAGTAGTGGTTTCATGGTTTCATAACTAGTTGGAATGGCGGCTTGATGAAACGCAGTCTTCCCATAAAAAATTCGCAAAGATGATTTGCCATCAGGTTGAGGTAGTGATAAATGTCGTGGTGCTCTTTCTTGTGGCCCATAATAAGGGCGAGTTCTCAAACACATCATGTATGTCAATTTGCGCCCCAGCCTGCATCAATGCCCGGATGGTATGCTGACGCCCAGAGAAAGTTGCACAGTGAAGAGGTGAGGAGTTGTCCCTTCCCCGTGCGCCGACATCTGCGCCTTCGCTGATCATCTGTTGCACTATGAAAATCTGGCCGCCACGACAAGCATAATGCAAAGGTGGCCATTCCCGCAGATCGCGAGTATCAATATCATCTTTGCCAATGAAAAGACCTATCTTTCGATCCATTAAATAGCCGGCTTGCAATTCTCTTGTCGAAGTCTCGTAATGGAAAGGTCCCCAGGCAAGGACATCAGGAGACTCGCTCAATGGTCTATTACATCCCACAACTGACGCGGCTCTTTAACTTCTAGCCTTTATATACCACGACGTAGGAAAAGCCCTCTTTCAGCTTCATTTTCGGCTTGTTCGCTTTTTTCAACGACGCTTTTGGAAATAGTAAAGAGCCTCCAGGTTAGGAGATATCTTCAGCCCCTTAAAATAAGATATGTCCCAGTGATCTCCCCATCTGTAATAATCCCATATCGTCTTCATTTTCTGCATCTCTGATGGCAAAGATGACCTGCCTCCAATACTGGAGCATGACAGCGGTGGCCTTGATAAAGATGAATCTGTTCTGATCAAAAGTTCTTGCTTTCCTGATTGTTTGGCAAGTTCCACAGTATTGCGTCACGTGCCCCTATCTTACCTTGCTTGCCCACGAATGCCAGAGTGTCGGGCATATCATTGCCTGCCAAATCCAATGTGCCACTATCCCGCTCGACTTCATGGAAAGTTATTACTCTTGAAAGGTATTATGGGTGTTGTAGAGATAATCTAGCGCCTTGTTCTAAAAGATGCGAATCTACATTGGCTCGACTTATGGGTTGCATGGGGGGTGATATGCATTGGATTACGGAAGCTCGCAGATAACAATGCAGTTAAATAATTTCCCACCCAATACTCACTGTGCCACCTACGTGCATTATGATTTATATATCACGAGCGCTTCTATCAACGGCGATCAATCTGACCAGAAATTTCGAAACTGACACACCCTCATGTGAAGGAGCGGCATCACCTCTCGGATGTCAGACACCTTTCGTCAACAAAGTCGACCACTATAACGAACACAGCTTCACGAATGGAGACGGCTGTCACCATGACCGATTCTCTGATGTAGACAGTTCAGCTAGCACTATGCCTACTGCTGCGTTTATGAATAAGTGATATTATTCTCTAACTTAAATATATTTCATCAAAGTATATATTCATTGTGTTGTGTTGTCGGGCCCAGCCAGCTTCCATTACTGTTGAACTTGATTCTCCTTTTCGTACGTCTCCAAGTATATATTTGAACTCTCTAGTCGGGGGTTTATTCCCTATCTAAGTTAGTAAATTCTCTTTACTAAGTTTAAGGGGACTTGAGCAAAACCAAACTTACCTGAGGCAAGGACTGCTAATAATATCAAATCTTGCCCGCGCCTGCAGGACCTTGCTGACCGATCTTTTTCTGGGCGCTTGAGAAGCAGCGGTAGGTAAATGAACCGCCGTCACCGAAGCTAGGAGAGTCATGGTTAGTACTAACTCCATAAGCAGTCGCGTGAGCGGCCTGCATACCTGATGTGGCAGTAAGGCCACTTAGCGAGATCTTTAGCGCTGACAGCTTTCTTCAGCACCTTCATCGCCTCATTCTGGCGAGCAACAGGCACACGGCCGCCGTGTTTGTCGTCGAAAGTAATAGGCATCTTGTTATGGTTAGGTATAAACCTTGAGGATGAATGTAAAAGTTATAGAAGATGAAGGAACTGATAAGTAGATGATATTGTTTATTAAACTCAGGAAGAAAGAAGCGAGACGGGGGAATATATAACTATCAGATTCCTATGTAGAGCTATACTTAGATATAATAAATCTTGGTTTAATTTTACCACCCTTACTTCGGCGGTGAGAAAATAGTCAAGTCAAGCATGAACTAGAGCGACATTCCCTTGCTAGGGCAGTTCATTCGATGACCTTCCTTGTCTCGAGCGATGGAATGGATTGAGAAGAGGAGGATGATCTCTCACGAAGGAATATCTCACGAAGGAAGCATTTGGAAACGCTCGTCGCAGCGACTCTCGAGGCCACAGCCGACTTCAACTGAACAGAGGCAACGCGAATTGCCGGTCAATTCACTCGTCAGTCACAAGTTAGTGTCTCAATTGAACGAAACAAAAACCGCGAGTATAATTGAAAAAATATGTGACGTAATTCACGTGTGGCCTGAGGCGAGGATATCCTCACTCGGCATATCCCTTGTTCGGCATATACCTCTCTCGGCAATGCGCTGCGAAGAATACTCGAAAGTACCTAGTTCGGGAGTGAGCACTACCTGCAGACAGTTAGAGAGCACGTGAGATTATTACCCAGTTGGGTAGGTGAGACTTCATGAAACCTAGCCACACCCCTGATATTCCTTCAAGCCTGGCAAGGCCCGGCTTTTCTATATTAATTAAGATGTAATGCCGATTGAGGTGCGATCCCTGTATCCTGGAGGAATCCTTACCAGCTGTACGGTTCCATTATTAAACAATTTGCTGATCCCGCTGAGGACTTCAGCATGCCAACAGTATTGGTGCATGAGACATTAGATAGTTGAGCCAGACGAGAAACAGACTAATTCTAACAGCAAAGTCAAGATATACAAGAAACCTTTCTTGTCGGAAGACATTGGCATCCTCCTCGAATATTCGGTTGTTGCGAGTCATGGCTACCGTGTTATAACCGACGCGTGTCGTGTGCCTCCGGGAACTTTAGATCGTTTCTCCAGTAGGGGGCACCACTTTGTAATCTCCGAGCGTGGTAGGGCGATTCTGCCTGAATCGCCATATGTACAGAGTACAAACAGGTCCGTGGGGTGGCCTCATTTCGCAGAATCGTCTACCGCTAGGGAGTCGCTGATTGGTTAATAAACGAGGAACCTTGATGCATTCCGTGCCATCCGATGAACCGTACATAGTATTACGAACCCGCAGACTGTGACCATTGTATAGGCAGTCGTTTCTAACTCCAAGTACTATGTGGGTGGTGCTGAGACCAAGTCCGTCAAACCTTTTCCGCTCACTCGCTGAACCGTCAGATGTGATGATGGGATTTCTTCCCCCTTGATGAAAATTACAGCGTAGTAATTAAAAGACTGATCAGCCCTTACGCGGAGTATACTTCTCAATGGTCTTGCTTTCGGCGTCAGATGAACAGACCATCGTACCGAGTACCAGGACAATTTTTCCGGTCGCAGTGCAAGGGTGAGCATAAGCACCAACCTCTTTTCCATCCTTAGGTAGTATCATTATCGGCTAGTACGTTGGAAACCCTCCGAACGTCACAACACCGAGCTGGAGGATGCATCCGGTGGCTGCAAACACCCAAAGCTCCCATTTTCCGGAGCCCTTATCGCTATTTAAAGAAATGCTTGGCACATACTCAGGCGTACTTCGTATGACAAAAGTCTTGTGAGTTGGACCTTTGAGGGGGGAAGAAGAAGCATTAGACTCTTCGTTATCTATGCCCCGCTGGAAGGATTCCCCTGAAAATATTGGGGTAAGCGAATGATCCCCTTTCCCTCGAAAACATTGCCACATCGGGTTCTTCCGAGGACATGCGATGCCAAGTTTGGAAGAGATTGTTCAAAGAAAAAGTTCCTTCAGAGTGGCTAGGGGGATGTTAATTTCTCCTCTGTCGGTTGACGCTGAATAGCAGGTCGGTTTCGGGTTGGAGGACATGACCGTGAGGGTGGATCACGGACCGGTATCTTCAAGATGTTTCTCCAGCCCGTCAAGCCCGTCATCCCGATCCTGGACTACCACTTCAGGGGGGCTTTCAAGTTTTTTGTCCGGGTTGAGGATGATGAACTCCGTCACGAGGCTTGGCCCCCTACACCGCACAACCTGTTCCCCATTCCAGAGCTCGCAAACTTACTAACTTATTGGGACGTGGACGGTAGGGTGTCTAGTTCGGCCGCCCGCAACATTTTCCATTATTCTTTCAACGAGGGCCTTGAGCTAGGTTAGACCGCTAGCTCATATGGCGCTAACAATGACGGTGAGAAGCATAACGGTCTCAAGGCTAGTATAATGTAGTTGGCCCAGTCCAGAGAATGGCTCATGAATTGCATGGTAACCCGCTCCCCAAAAAGGGTCAACAAGCTGCCTGCAGAAACTTGATTAGAAGATGAGCACGCCAATGAGGCAGTGCATACTCTGTAGACGGTACGTAGTAGTAAGTGAGAGAGTAATGCAGCTGCTGAAGAAAAAGGGGGGAATTTCTAAATACCAAGAATTTAACAACTCGACACTATACCCAGTATCACAACACATGGATAAACGGTACTTGCAGTGCTCAATCCGAAAAGAAAATATTTTTTGAGAAGTCCTCTCCTTCATCCGCCGCCCAAGAGTCCACTGAAAACCAACGTGACAATGAATATTGGGAGCACCATAGCTGATTATAGGGTACTGTTTGTTCAGTACGAGTTGGTGATTGTTTGTGAGAGATTGTGAGAGGGAGAGACGTAATCGAACAGCGGCAGGGTTCACTCTTTATTCTGCCAAGGTATCATTCCTGCATGATCTACATGATTTGGTAAGTGACGCATGTCTGCCTCTTTCTACCTTACACCATATAAATAAAGCCCAATAAATCTACCTATGAGTATCACGCTCAATCACGACGGTGAGTGGGGAGATTAGCATGAAGATGAAACATACCTGTTGATATGCAGTAATAGCCTAGGTGATGATCTATTGGGTGCGGCCGGCCAATGTTCGCACTTCATCTATTTGTGCCATGAAGCCGACGTGATGTAGGTGACAGAGCGCGCTCTCGAGTCTCGACATGGAATCTGAAGGCTACACATTCATTGGAGTACTCATTTCCCCGTACTAGGGGGTTCGCTCTGCCTAACATAGGATGTGAGTGAGTTAGTCGAACAACGCTTCTATTAATACCACACCCCTGAAATAGCAGCTTTCCACTAGTTTAAACATAAACAATGCTCCCTACAGCAGAGATTCATCTTGCGGAGTAGCATTACTTCGAAGTAGCCATTGTACCTCAACCGTTTTCCAATCTGTGGACTTGCGTCTAGCTAATACTCGCCCGCGCCTGTTCCTTCAATCGGCCCTGTAGTTATTAGGATGTCCTGGCGTATGGTCCATACGCACTATTACCTCGCAGGGGATACACAAGGCGATCGAAAAGACATTATTGACCCCCTTGTGAGGGCTTGACCCACCAACGCCGGCAATAATCAATTGATTTTGAGTCCTTCATTTATTTGAAGTAAACAGGCGAAGCAACATTTGCTTGATAGCGCCACATATGGCAAGAGAAACTATTTATGTGCGGTCCAAGCAAGCATGCTTATTACAAGCATGGCATAATGTCGCTAGCAATTCCTGGACGGATTTTGTTAAAGTCAACCGTCGAGGCTAAGTGCCACAAAAGGTGGGCCTGATCGCTCGCTCTTTCTCTTTGCGACTGGGCTTAACATGAATTCGTGGCCGTAAACATTGACAAGAGATGGTGGTGTTCAGTTCTGATGACCTCCCCCAATAGTTGGCTTGCAATACCGCCAAGCCAGCTTCGGCTTGATCCGAACAGGAGGCCCGAGTTTACTAATTGCGCTCTCTTTAATGGCACGATGCCCTCGGCTTGTATCTGGATTCTTTACCTTTGTCCTGACGAACTTTGATTTTGGCTACTCAACACACAATGGCTAAGCAAATGTCGAACTCAGACTACGATCTTGAAAAGCCTCTAGAGACCAAGGTTGGACTCCGTCAAGGTCTTCCTTCGTATGGCGACCCTCACTTTTCTCTATTCTTGCGCAAGGTGTTCATCAAGGCGTTGGGATATTCGGAGGACGCCCTTTCACGCCCAATTATCGGCATCGTCAACACTTATTCGAGCTTTAACCCCTGCCATGCCAATATCCCGCAAATCATCGATGCAGTCAAGCGTGGCGTACAGCTCAATGGTGGGCTGGCCATTGATTTTCCGACCATCAGTATACATGAAGCATTTTCTTCGCCAACGAGCATGTACCTGCGAAACTTGATGAGCATGGACACAGAGGAGATGATCAAAGCTCAGCCTTGTGACGCTGTCATCTTAATCGGAGGTGAGGCCCCTGCGGGCCAGATAATTATATCTAGCTGATCCTTGTAGGATGCGATAAAACAACTGTCGCACAGCTCATGGGCGGCATTTCCGCCAACAAGCCGATTCTTCACATCGTGACAGGTCCTATGATGCCTGGAAGCCATAGAGGAGTCCGCATAGGAGCTTGCACAGACTGCCGTAATAATTGGGCCAAGTATAGAGCTGGCACAATTGACATTGAAGATATTTCTGCCGTGAATGAAGAACTGGCACCCACTGTGAGTACAAACTCTCGTCTTTCTTCCCTTGAATAGCAATCGAAGGGAAGAAATCCAAGTAATTTAAGGAGTTTGGAATGCTGATGTGGTCGTTGGTAGGCTGGCACATGTGGTGTCATGGGCACTGCGAGCACAATGGCCTGCGTGCTTGTTGCACTCGGCATGATGCCCTTTGCGGGGGCGACTACACCAGCAGTATCATCTTCTCGACTGCGAATCGCAGAACAAACTGGCAAGAATGCTGTCGCTGCGTGCGAGCAGAGGGAGAAGCTCCGCCCCCAGAACTTGTTGACTAGAGAGTCATTTCTCAACGCAATCACGGTTCTCCAGGCCATTGGCGGCTCAACAAATGTCGTTGTTCATCTAATGGCGATCGTAGGACGTCATCCCAAGCTGACTGGCACGATCACTATAGATACAATCGATGAGATTGGGCGCAAGACACCACTACTCGTTGATCTGAAGCCAAGCGGTAATAACTACATGACTGATTTTCATAACTCAGGTACGAGGTTCTAACCTCCGGCTACATTCCTATTAGCTAATGGTTTTCTAGGTGGCATGTTGGGATTACTTCTAGAATTAAAACACTTGCTCTACTTGGATGCAATGACAGTCACTGGGCAAACCCTTGGGCAAGAGCTCGCCAATGCGACTCTTCCAATTGTCCCAAGGGAGCTCAGCGTGATCCATCCTTTTTCAGAACCCCTATGCCCAGCCTCATCACTGGTGGTATTGCGAGGAAATTTGGCCCCTGGCGGTGCGGTGATGAAGGCAAGTGCCTCAAAGTACAATTATCTCCTTCAGCATACTGGTCGTGCTGTGGTATTTGCCAACTCCAGTGACATGGCTGAGAGAATAGATGACCCCGATCTTGAAGTCACAAAGGACAGTGTGCTGGTATTGCAAAACATCGGCCCGGTCGGAAATCCCGGCATGCCTGAAAGTGGGATGATTCCAATTCCTCGGAAGCTCGGCTCCCAAGGGGTCTTGGATATGCTAAGATTATCTGACGGTCGGATGAGCGGCACCGCTGGCGGAACGATCGTCCTTCACATTTCCCCTGAAGCAGCGGACCCCTCATCGGTCCTTGGAATCGTTCAGACCGGAGACACCATCACCTGCGATGTCGAGAAGCGGCTATTACAGCTCGACGTGAGCGATGGGGAAATCTCCCGGCGGCAAGAAGAGAGGACAAAGGCACTACGAGGGACAGACGCCCCGTGGGTGACCAGAGATGACATGCGTGGCTACAGAGGACTCTACATGCGAGAGGTAAAGCAAGCCCAATTCGGCGCTGACTTCAAGTTTCTTACGGCAGAGGGCCCTTCCGCGAAGTAATTTGCTCCGGGCAAGGTTATTAGACCAATAAGATAGAACCTATATCCAGACATAGCGGTCTTTCTTACTGTCTGAATTTATGATGTATATAAGTTTATTCCTCTTGCTACCTTTGGTATTATGATTCGTTGGTGGTACGAATCGTGTGTTTACCCGTGGCTCCATGTAAGTGCTCCAAAACAGTGAGAATCTTCATCGAATCGAGCCAAATTCTTCCGAATCAGCTTAGAAGCAATGAACGAAATCACTCAAGGCATACCCTTGCGTGATGGTTTAAGCCTCGGGACGCCGTGCTGCCATTATGGAAGGGATGAAAGTGAGATCTATGGCGGATAAGGCCGACGTGGTTATCCAAGATCTAAGCCCACGCCAATGCGATTCATGCGGGGTGATTTACCATCCCCACTCATCGAACAGGGCATCTCAAGCCGACAACTGCTGTCGCTCATCTTGAATTCGACCCTACCCCTTATCGGAGATTGCCCGCCATGAATTGTTGTACTGATAATGGTGATCATCCGCTCGCCTTTCCTACTACTTGCTGGTGGCAACAAGCCTGGGACGGGAAAATAGAGACGGCTAAAAAGGGAATCCCGGAGCGTGTCCGTGAGATGCGGACGACGAGACTCGGAACTGGAACATGAGGCGGAGGAAAACCGCACGGACTGTTGTGAGGCACGAGATATCACTAAAAGAGTCTTAAACATAAAGAAAATGACCTTTTGATGTTTGCTGCGTCTTCAACTCCAGCCGTTGAACTTGGCCCTCTGGTGCTTACAGTGTGCATACCTCTCCCCTGGATATTCGTTAATTCCAATCATCACCTACTCTCTCGGCTAGAAAGTATGTCAACGCACGCTTCTTTCCCAGATCTCAAAGGCAAGGTTGCCCTGGTCACCGGCATCGGACAGACTGGCAGCGATGGCAATGTTTGGGGCGACGAGCCAAGGGTATGGGGCAATGGTGCCGCCACCGCCCGTCTTCTCGCATTGAACGGCGTCAAGGTCTTCGGGTGTGATATCAACATGGTCAGTGCCAAAAACACCCAGCAGCGGATACAGGCCCTTGGAGGTGTTGTCGAGATCGCGGAGGCGGACGTAACCAAGAGCGGAGACGTGAAGAGGCTAGTACAGGAAGCACTCAAGGCCTTTGGTCGCATTGATATTCTGGTGAACAATGTTGGTCGCTCGGAGCCTGGATGTCCTGCCACAATGGAGGAGCATATTTGGTGAGGTCACTTCGCAGTTTAAGGAATGTCGCCGTTTAGGCTAACAGTAATGGATTTCAGGGATGCCCAGGCGGATCTCAATGTGAAGTCGGTATATCTTACCTGTCATGAGGTTCTTCCCCTCATGGAAGCCCAAGGCAGCGGCAGCATCATCAATATTGCCTCCATTGCCGGCCTGCGCTATATTGGAAAGCCGCAAGTCGCCTACTCAACCTTCAAGGCCGCCGTGATTCAGTTCACCAAGGCGACCGCTGTCATATATGCGCCTAGAAAGGTTCGCCTGAACAGTGTGGTGCCAGGACTCATGCACACGCCTCTCGTGGGCTACCTGGCGGACAAATATGCTGGTGGTGACATCGATGGCTTCGTAAAGAAGCGAGATGATGCGGTCCCAACGGGTAAGCAGGGAGATAGCTTTGACATTGCCAACGCGGTGACGTTCCTCGCTTCTGAAAGTTCTAAATACATTACTGGACAGAAGTTGGTGGTAGATGGTGGTATCACATCTTCGACGAGATAGAGTTTAGAAACGAACTTTCTGCGCGGGAAGAAATACACTGAAATGGCATTGATTATCCACCTTTTTCACATGAATGGAATATTTGGCTCTTCAATTGAAATTTGTCTCGTGTTCCAAGACTGACACTAGTGATGTAATGAATGCAACAAGGTCTGGTGCTGTTGTCGTCTCATGGTCGCAATTCACCGAGTGCAGGAATACGTTGTCCAAGGGCGCACCGAATGCCCACTATCTGAAAGCCAAAAAAACTTCGATAACAGAGGGGCATCATTCCCAAAGTCTCCGATCAATAGGGGTTGAAGTCATGTTCCTTGATGTCTGGATTTCCTACTAGTAGGATAACGAAATGTCGTGAGCAATTTCACCACAGTTAGACATTGTGGATAAAACATGGCTTTCAATCTAACAATTGTGTCTTGAATATTTGTCTATTTACTTAAAATTGCTTCTACTCGCCCTTGTAAGGGTGGCCGGGGCCAAACTCCGGCTTCCAGAGGCCTTTCTTTTCCTTCGTCTTGACCTGCTCAGCCTTGAGAAGTCCGTAAATAACCCTTAGAGTAGGCATGGGAACACCTCGACTCTCGCCCTCTCGCAAAGGCTCGCCAACAATGACCTCTGCCTCGATGAAGTTGCCTTTGAGAATATCTTGCGCCATACTTGGATAGAACCAAGCCTCAATGGGATCATTGAAAACGACAATATCGGGGAGGTTCGCATCCAAATCCACGCCGCAAGCCTTGGCAGCGGCAATGATCTCTCTCATGATCGGCTTAAGCAGGTCATCTACAACATGCTGTGTAGCTCTCATTCGGGTGGCATCCATGCGCAGTACTGTAGCAACGGAGTTGAAGCTAGCGTTGTAGACGAGCTTTCGCCACCGCGTCTTCAGAACATCAGGCTCATAGAGAGTGGTGAGCTTGCCGTTGGGGTTGTAGATATCAATGTAACGGCGGGCTGCAGCTTCAGCGACAGCATCTGATACGCCGGGGTTGTGGAAAGGTCCGATCTTTTGTTCATCTGTGTCATCATGGATGATGAAACCCTTCTCTTTCTCAGTGGCGCCGATGGTAGAGACACTGCTGATGATGGGGTTTTTAGGAAAACGCGCCACGACGGGCTTCTCGATGTTCAGACCATTCTGCGAGAGGACGATGGCTGTCTTCCCAGGCGTCACGGCGGGCGCAATTAAATCAGATACAGTAGGCGCGACATCTGCCACGTTCTTTGTGGTGACCAAGATGAAGTCATAAGGCTCGATTCCCTCCTTGGTAACGTCTGGCACAGTCTTTCGGACTATTCAGTGATTAATGTTGGTCCTGGAGGCGTGAATCGAGTAATCGCCGACTCACTTTCAGTAGGCTTATAGCCCTTGATATCATGACCGTGCTCGATGGAGTCGATCGTGATGCCCTTCTCCTTGACAATATCGTAGTTTGATCTCATTACCGCCGTAACGGTCGCCTTGCCGCCAATCTCAAGGGCATAGGCCGCGAGGGTGCCAACACCACCGGTGCCGACGATGAGAACGCGAGCTTTGTCTCCGGCCATACTTTTGCTCGGTTTTAGATGTTTTATTCTTGAAGCTGCGCTTTGGGATGCAGATTATGTTCACGATAATTATCGTATGATAGTAAGGGACCATTTACATAGTCTCTTACACTCACCCTCGCTTAGGCAAGTATATATATTATATAACCCAAGGGCTGGCATGGAAATGATAGTATCTAACTTTGCAAGAAGTCACAGGGCAACGAGATAAGAGATCGGAACATTGTCGCTCGCCGTACCTTGCGATAGAATTGTTCATCCGCCGAGAGAGCTCTTAATCGCCTAGCATCGGAGGTGGTCGTGGAGCACTGCCTTAAAGGGATGGTGCGTCACATTCGGATCAACCTGCTATCATTAACGTGAGATTCCCGTCTATGGGGCAGTATTAGCGCGCCTCTCCTCGACCGGAGGAGGCCATGTTGTGGAGGAATGAGCGAGCGGCGCTAGATGCGTGGAGTCAGCTCCATCGATGAGCCGCTTTCCCCTCATCATGAGATCTGGGATCTTCTTGGCATGATGGGCCAAAGGACTTCTTTTGTCAGGCCGCTTGGCCTCCTATTCACGCGCTGATGCTGAGTTATCCCACAAAGAAAGAGTAGGATAGGGCTCTATTACAACCAAAAATCCGTAGGATGTGATGGTCAAGGTAGACTTCTCTCACATGCACAAGTCAACCACGGTAGAATTAAGTCTCGACGCTTAAGTTAATGCTTAGGTTGTCTTAGAAAATATCTTATATATACATGGTATAGTAGTATCATGGAATCGAGGTTAGTATGTTCATAGCAATGAGAGCAGCGTTTCATATCATCCACATATGTGCACAATTCAAGGCTTTTAAGCGTAATAATCTCTTCGTGGTTTCTCTATCTACTTTACTATGTGTTTAGATATGAGCCCGGTGTGTCACGTTGATATTGCCCGTGACAACGGTCTTGCTTTGCAAGTAGTCTGCAATGCCGTACTTGCTACCCTCGCGTCCAAGCCCTGACTGTTTTACCCCCCCAAAACTAATATCGAAGCCAGTTAGCACATTTGTCTCTTCTTGTCGGCCAGATGGGGCTCTTACGGTGCGGCGGCGTCAGACATGACGCCTGTATTAATGGCAACCATCCCGAAGTGCAGCAGTTCCGTGACGCGATGGGCTCTGGTGATATCTTGGGTGTAGACGTAGGATGCCAATCCCACATCGCAGGCGTTTGCGGCATCAACAGCCTCGTCTTCAGCCGAAAATCTTAGAATAGGCGCGATGGGACCAAAAATCTCCTCCTGAAAGAGGCGCATGTTGCTGGAGACATCGGTCAATACTGTCGGCTGGTAGAAAGCAGGGCCTGCAAGATGCGGTCAGTTGATGTATATACTCTTATAACATAGACGTTGAGGCGAGACCGACCAATATCTTGTCTCCTTCTACCACCAACAGCAATCTTTGCACCCTTCTTAACGGCATCGTCCACGAGTTCTGCAACTTTGCTGGCAGCGGCCTCGTGGATAAGGGGGCCATGAGTTGTCTCTGGGTCCGCGCCATTTCCAACCTTGAATGTCCGAACAACCTCGACAAGTCTTTTGATGAACTCATCATAGATACCATCTTGAACAAAAATACGGTTGGCGCATACGCATGTCTGGCCCGTGCCCTTGAATTTGCTAGCGACGACACCCTTGACAGCAAGGTCGAGATCAGCATCGTTGAATACCATGACGGGAGCATTACCGCCCAACTCCAGGCTGAGCTTCTTGATGGTGTCGCTAGACTGCTTCATCAATAGACGACCGACACGTGTCGACCCAGTAAATGAGATCTTGCGGACGATTGGAGAGGCGCACAAGACCTGACCAATCTCTGGGGTGTTCTCAAGTGCACAAACAATATTGACAACACCCTTGGGAACGCCTGATTTCTCACCCAGTAGTGCAAGTGCGTTTGCCGTGAATGGAGTCTCGCCGGCTGTTTTGATGACCACGGAGCAGCCGGCGGCCAGGGCCGGGCCGAGTTTACGTGTGATCATGCCTGCGGGAAAGTTCCATCTAATGAAAGGATGACACTGTCAGAACACACATCTCAGTAATAGGAAACAGGATATAGCACATACGGTACAATGAGACCAGCGACACCAACGGGTTCTTTGAGGACCGATACACGGAAGCTTGTTGAGCTATGAGGAACCACATCGCCGTGGATATGTGCTGCCTCTTCCGAGAACCACTCAAGGAAGCTGGCAGCGAATTGGACTTCACCATTAGCATCGAAGGAGGCCTTACCGTTCTCCCAGCCGATGAGAGTGGCGAGATCTTGTGCATTCTCCAAAATCAAGTCATTCCATCGGCGAAGGATCCGCGCCCGCTCTCGGCCACTGCGGCTGCGCCAGGCTGGGAAGGCGGCTGCGGCAGCGTCAATAGCCCTTTGGGCATCTTGAGAGTTGGATTCCGGGCATGTTCCGATCAGCTTTCCTGTTGCAGGATCTTTGAACATACATAGGATTAGCCTTCATTCTAGCTAATGCAATCTCGTTTGACGTACCGTGGACCTCAAACCTTTTGCCAGAAGCAGACTCGACCCATTCGGCATTGATATAATTCTTGCCGATGAGCAAAGAGGGATTCTTAAGGCGCCGTTCTTGAAGCATTGTATGACGGTTTTACAGCGGCGATATAGCAAAAGACCAAAGGATGACATAAACTTGGTTCGACGGCAGCGGACGTTGATATAAATGAAAGGCTAGTAATAAATCTTATAAGACCTCGGATTATTAGGCCTGTTTGGGGAAGCACTCAGCATTAACTAATACCTCGCGAGCAACCATCATGAGCAGACATGGCACAAACTTGCCTAGTCAACACTATAAGCTGCTCCCGTAACCTAGTTCTCCCTATAATCTCCTCCACCCGTCAATCCCCGCTTGTTACTAGGCAGTTGACCCCGGGCTGGGCTGAATACGCTCGCCACTGCCCCGGGGCATCAACATATCCCTGCCACTTGGGTCACCAATACGAGGGGAACTGAGTCACTGCAGCCGAGTCACAGAAGCCGACTCAAGTCGATAATATTATCCGTCTTCCAGTGGGAACAGGTATGAGAGACCGACTTAGCAACAGAAGATCTACATACGTATCTCCGTTCGACTCCCCACACTCACCCCGCCTGACTAGGGTTGATGCTAGGTGGTCACAACTGAAAGATCCTTATCTCCATCTCCACCATGACATTGCCCCTAACCTGATTTATCTCGCTCGGTCTTGCTTGCTTCCTGTTCTGGTACGTAAGTCCAACATGCCAAAAGCGGGGGCTATGCCTTCACCCCCGAGTATCGCGAGATCCGGGACCGGGACCGGGTATCAATTGTCGCATCCCTTCGTTGACTCTGCGACAGTGGGCGGTAATGTGTACAGCTTCATCAAGCTGATCACACTGATGAGCGTCGATAGGTCTTATAAATCCCCAGTGACTCGACACTAGATCAAAGCCAAGCAGGTGGTTGTTTCCTCTAAACAGAAAGGCATCGACAAGTCCAAGATCAAGGAGCGAGTGAGCTCCTTCAGTTATCCTCAGCATTCACAATGGCACCCCGTGTCGAGATCCTCGACCTGTCCAATACTTCTCATATCTACCACTCACCGGCTACCATCACCGCCTCCAACACCAAGTTAGTTCATGTATCTGGTCAAGTAGGAGCCACCAAGTCCGGCCACATCCCTGCCGACTATGAGTCTCAAATTCATCTGGCGCTCCTCAATCTGCGCCGCATTATCATCGCAGCCGGTGCCACCGTCAAGGACCTAGCCAAGATCACCGTCTACATCGTCGACTACAGTCCCGACCGCAGAAAGCATACTCGACCCATCCAACGATTCCTGCGTGGCCACAGGCCGGCAATGACGCTTGCGCCTGTCGCCCAACTCGCGAACCCAGCCTGGCTCTTCGAGATCGACGCTGTCTTTGCTATTCCCTCCCCTAGGGATTCAATCCCACGCCTTCTGTCTACCCCTTCACCAACAAAATCTGTTGATGTAGTCATCATTGGCGCAGGTCTGGCTGGCCTCTCTGCAGCCCAGGATCTCCACCGTGAAGGGTTGTCATACGTTATCCTCGAGGCTCGTAATCGCGTTGGAGGCAAGACATACACTCATCCTCTCCCCACCGGCCGAGGAAATGTTGAGCTCGGAGCTGGCTGGATTAATGATACTAACCAGTCACGTATGATTGAGCTTGCTCGTCGATTTGGCCTGGAGCTGATTGAGCAAAACACCAACGGTAACGTGGCGTTGCAGGATGTTGACGGCAGTGTCTCTCCATTCCCATACGGAGAGCTCCCCAACGTAAGTTTGTCACATTTGAAACCATGCTTCTTGCCTTTCTAGCAACGTTTTGCTTGCAAAGATGCAGCACTAACAGCGATTCTTCTATAGTTCGACCAAGCCTCCCAGAAAGATGTAGCCCGCATTCGGGACAAGGCGGAAGCCGATTGCCAGCTTTTGGATATCTTCAAGCCTCAAGATACGGCACTCGATGCCATGACATTCGAGGCCTACCTGCGCTCCAACAATGCATCAGAGAAGGCCCTCTGGACTGCCACCGTCTGGACTCGCGCTATGCTGGGCGTCGACCCCCGCGATGTTTCTGCCCTCTTCTTCCTCAACTACTGCAAGTCCGGCGGTGGCCTCTTGCAGATGCGTTCCGACCGCAAGCACGGCGGCCAATACCTTCGCATCCGTCAAGGCACCCAGAGCTTTTCAGAGCATCTAGCCAAGGCTCTCGAACCGGGTTCCATTCATTTAGACTCTCCTGTAAAGCAGGTTACCCAGGACGGCCCTCATTCTGTTAGCGTCACAGCTGCCGATGGTGCTGTCTATCGTGGACGCAAGGTCATTACCACAGTACCAAGCCCTGTGCTGAAGACAATTGATTTCCAGCCCGCCCTTCACCCGGTGAAGCTTGCCTGGTCCGAGTCGGCCAACTACGGCTACTACACAAAGGCCATGATGGTCTTCAAGACCCCCTTCTGGATTGCAAAGGGCTGGTGCGGTCTGGCACAGTCCTTCACCGGACCAGCTGCCGTAGTGCGCGACTCCTGCAGTCCCGCTGATGGCACCGCGGTTCTGACTTGCTTCATGTCTGGTCCACCCGCCCAGGAGTGGTCCCTCCTCCCTCAAGCTGAGAAGAACGAGAAGCTTCTCAACCAACTTGGCAAGCTATTCGGTGCCGAGGACACAGTGAAGCAGGAGTTCATCGAGTGCCACATCCACGAGTGGAACGAGGATGAGTACTCGGGATATGGCTGCCCATGTGCTCATCTGCCTCCCGGAGTTCTGGATGCGCTTGGGCCCGACTCACTGCGCGAACCTATTGGAAATCTGCACTTTTCTGGTACTGAGACTGCTGGCGAGTGGAAGGGTTATATGGAAGGTGCTGTTCGTAGCGGTGAGCGCGCTGCTCAAGAGATTATCCGTGATCTGAAGACTGGACTGGCAGCTCGTCTGTAATTGGTTTCAGTATTGCCGTGTTTGACAGACGCAAGCTTTATAATAAATGGAATCAAGGTAATTTGAGAATGCAAATAAAAAGAAAAGAAGCAAGTCTCATGCCATGGTGTTTCACTTCGAGCTCTCAATAACGTACCATATCATTCCATCTAATTTCCAACCCAACTACGCATCAATCTATTTCCCTTCTCTCGCACTATGGCTCAGTTGCAATACGACTGCCTGTCTATATACTTCATGTTATTATGCTATCTAGGGCAGCGGTTTACAGTTAGTTTCTTTCTTGGATACGCAGTATCGGGCATCCTTAGGTGCAATGCCAGCGCGCTTTTCCAACTCGTTACTTTTGAAGGGGAGGATGGTTCGCGAGGAGCAAGATTTAAGCAGTCATTGGATGATTTTCGCTAAACGGCTATCGTTTATCATTTTTTTCTTATATTTTTAGACTATTCTCCTTTAGACAGTTCCCCCTTAGACTTCCATATCTCGTATTCAAAGTCGGGTTGAAATTCAGTGTAAAGTGTTTCCTATACCAGTTCCGTATTAGCATTCATCACAATCATGAAGAACAATTAGAGAAACTTACAGGGTCAGCATTGACCTTGGTAGTAAACTTTGCTGCCTCTTCGTTGATGAGCTTCTTCTCGTGCTTGCAGGCATCAACCATAAGCTGGACCTCGCATGAGCGCTCCATAAGCGTAAAGAGATATGCTGCCTCGTCAACTGTGCCTCCGGCCGTAAGTAGGCCATGGTTCTGCAGAATGACTACCTTGGCATGTTCACCCATGACGTCGGCGATGCGAAGGCTTTCAGCGTCTCCAAGGACAATACCGTTGAAGTCATCATACACGGCCTGAATGCCGTAGAAGTTGCAGGTATCCTGACTGATGATGTCTAACGGTAAACCGAAGCTCGCCCAGGCCTTTCCGTACTTTGAGTGTGTATGGCAGGCGGCGTTGATGTCGGGGCGGGCTTTGTGGATGGCACTGTGAATCATGAAGCCGGCAGCATTAACAGCAACCTTATTGCCGCCAATGACTCTGCCCTTCTCATCCACATGCACCATATCACTGGCCTTGAGCATGCCGAAATGAACACCCATTCTATCGTTCGTTCAGCACATGAATCAATTCTAGGGTTGACTGTAAGGCGATAGGACTTACGGGTTGATCCAAAAAGTGTTGGGGTCCACGGGGTCGCGAACACTGATGTGGCCAGAAGTGCCTTCGCCATACCCGCGGCGCGCAAAGACTCTAAAGGCACCAGCCATATGTTCGAGCTGCCATTGCCGTTTCTTATAGGGGTCATCGATCTTAGGTATCCCAGGAAATTCGTATTCACCGGTGGTTACTGCTGCTAAACCTGCAGGACCGTCTTGGGGCTGCGTAGCCAGCGCCGCTTGGCTGGACTCCAGAGTGAGTTTTTGCTCACTGGTTACTGTAATAGAGGACATGGTGAATGTTCACTATATCACTGTTTGTGTAAAAATCCAAATGCCAGGAGGATCGGTGAAATACTCAAGGTATCTTGAGATAACGCAGGAACAAATTTCTGCCTTGTCTAAGAATGGTCATATAATTAGGCGGAGATTGATAACTTTCTTATTCATATACCCCTAGTACCAGAAATCATTTTTGTGTTTCCGATTTGTTTCGATCACACTTGTTCTCGCGTGAATCAAATCATCCTCGGACACCATCGCCACTTTGACATCACTCTCCACAAGTGTCTGGTTGGGAGATGGGAAGGGAGGGTGGGGCGTGGACAACTTCCCCCGAGAGAAGGAGATGGCGAGTCCTTCCGTTCCTTCTTAGACCCTGAAAGACTGGTGGATCCGACTGTGGCAACTCGATCCGAGGCGGCAACAAGTTCCACATCTTGATATCTCGATGGAGCCGCTTCCCCGCATTGGCAACTGGCCGGCGGGTCGGAACTTACTCCGCTGATAAGAGCCATAGGGGTGGTTTCGATTACCAATATTTTCTCTTTGAAGGGGAGTTGCTGAGTCTCTTACCCAGTTCTTCGCTCGCTCATGACTTCCATCACTTATTCTTTGCCGCAACGCCCACACAGACGAGCAAAGAAACCCCGTACGGTTTACGCCAGGTCTCCAGTTCACTCGCATCACCTTTGCTGGGTAGCTAGGCGCCTCCCAAGGTGAACCTAAGACACCGGGCTGTCACGGCCCCTTTTCGATCCGGTTCAATGCCGACTAGCGGGGCTCCTCCGACATACCAGTACAGGAAGCACAGCAAGTCTTTCACCGGCTGCTGGACCTGTCGAGGACGCAAAGTCAAGTGTGATGAGCTCCGGCCGAAGTGTAGCCAGTGCACACAGAAGGGGTTGGCTTGTGGTGGCTACGATGTCCGGTTGCAGTGGATCACACCGGAGACAGGGGACGGTTCTGAGGCCCCGAATCCGCAGCTGATCCCAATCACAAGCAGCCATAGGAGCAGAATAACTATGGGTGAGTGGTAGCTGCTGCTTTAGTGGCCTGTTGAATCTGGTGTAGCTGATATTAGCTCCGGGTTTGTCACAGGCTCGCCACTACCCAGGCTATCATTTGAGAAGATTGATAACATTATACTCACACTTGACTCATTTAATCCTAAGGACTTGAGAAACACCGAAAAGAACAACGATCGGTCTAAGTTTCTCAAATGTTTCGGAGTCTTTGGCGCAGTGGATGATCATTCTTCAGTCAGTCTGGTTATGCCATCAACATCATCGGCACAACCAACCTCCAACAATATCGATGTCATACCGTCGCCTAACAACTCCTCCGATCTGGACACTCTCCCGACCACGGATAATGTTCAATTTTCACCCCCACAGGATATTGATAACTCACTCCCTCTCACCACTTTCCTTGACAACCAAATCTTTGGTGTCCCAGACCCTCATTATGATGATATATCCCTAGGGGAGGCTGACCTTGGTTGGCTTTTTGATACCCAAAACCCAGACTCACTATCCCAGGATCTCGATGTACAATGTAAGACGAACTGGCTTTTCGGAAGCCCATCGTGGCACGAACCGTTTGAGCCCATCCCGCGTAGCCCCCCTGTCTCAAATGGAATATCTCAGCAGGAGAGATTCCTGATGTACCACTACACGAGCAAGATCGTCAACCTTTTTGTGGTATTGGAAAACGTGAAGAGTCCCTGGCAAACTATCCATATCCCGCGGGCTCTACAGAGTGCAGGTGAACTTGTTGTGATGGGCTATTCGCCTCCATCCAAAAATGCACTGAGGAACGCGTTACTATCAATCAGCGCGTTTGCCTTGTCAAATGAGCACAAGAATCAAGGTAGACTTGACGATGGCCAGAAATGGGCCGGCGTGGCGACGGGTTTTCGTGGGATAGCTATCAAGCACCTCAAGGAGGCCGTGCAAACCGGCTTCTTCAATGGATCGCGCCCCAGGTATAAGGAATGCCTAGCGACAATGCTTTCGATGATCTCAATAAACGTGAGTACACTGACACCACGAGTAAACTAACTATGGTCTCGTCTAACATTAAACGTAGGTGATGTCCGGCGATACGGAAACGTGTGCCATGCATCTTGACGGAGCATATCGCTTGATTAACCAAGCAAGAAGCTGGAAGAAGAAGTATTCTAGCAAAGCCCAAGCGCTCCACCGCATATATTTCTTCCTACGTACAGTCTACGAAAGCACCAGGATGAAGCCTACGACAGCTCAGAATAGCAACAGCGACAGCCCCATGCTAGACTGGGGCACGTCGGCTGAGGCTATATCAGGCGTCCTCCCAGAGGATGGTCCAACATCAGAGGGCCGCTCGCCATCTGACCAATATTCGAATGACATGTGTACATACGCACACATCTACGGGGTGCCTCACAGCCTACTCATCCTGTTAAACAGGACCGTCGAGGTTGTTCGCATGGTCATGGAGGAGCGGGAGCGGACAGGAGTCCGAGGACTGTCGCCAGATTTGGCGGGCAGATGCGACGAAATGGAATTAGGCATCGTGGAGTGGCTTGCCGATCCGATAAACGACCCTGCATCTCCGGGAAGAGTAACTCCAACAAACTCGATCATCATGGAGCACATGACTCGGGCTTTCCACAACGCCATCATCATATACTTTGCACAGCACGTTCGCCTGCTAAAGCACCAGTATCTTCAACCATTCATCATTAAAGTGATCGATAGCATAGAGATCATAGAAAGGATCAAGGCCGAAGCACACATCTTCGCCGCGCCACTCTATTGGCCTGCGTTTATAGCAGCCAGCGAGGCATTTGAACCTGCTCTGCAAGAGCGATTCCAGAAATGGTACAGAGATGTGGAGATTTACGGAATTGGGTGTATTAGAACAGGAACCCAGGTGCTGTCAGATGTTTGGGATAAAGGCCCGTGCCCAGGAGCTACGCTTACTAGTATATGGAGGATGGCACTTGAGAGACGAGGCGATATCCTGTTGTTAAGTTGAGTTTACTGTGGAGTTATCTTGGGAATAATGAGAGCGGGTGTCACTAGTCAAGCATCGAATGAATTAGGTAATGACATGGTTATGTACCTATGCAGTGCAAAATGGAAAGGCAATACAAGGATGTAAGACACCCTGTGAAGCAAATATGCCGATTGATAATAATAATCCATGTCCATGCGCATCAAGAACCACGTAGTTAAACCAGCCACGTCCTAACCTCCGAGTTACGGCGTCTCCATCTAAAGCTTGGACAGAATGCCATCAGGAGTCAGCAGAGAAAGGAATTCGCTGTTGATTTCCGAAACGTTGCGACATCTGCATCTGTTAGAAACAATGGAGCGTGATGGAAGCAAATCATAAAAGCACATACCCGGCAAGCGCCATAGCAGTCACGAACTCATCGTACAGTAAGTTCAATGCCAGCTCAACGCCCCTCTGGCCATCGTACTAGTCACAAACTGTCAGCTACTGGTATGCCTGGATTCGGTGCATGAAATGAAACGTGATGCACTTACAGCTAACCCCCAGATAGCCAGTCGCCCAGCTAGACAAAAGTCAGCCCCTAGGGCTAGGGCTTTGAAGATATCAGTTCCTCTACGAATCCCCCCGTCAATGGCGACGGGAATGCGCCCCTTGGTTATTGGGGCGACTTCACGAAGCACGTCGAGAGAGGCGGGGACACTGTCCAACTGCCGGCCGCCATGGTTAGAGATAATGACGCCGTCAAATCCAGCATTGATGGCGTTCTCTGCATCCTTCTTTCCATAAACTATTAAGGGGGTGTCAGCATTCTTGGCACTCGCTACCCAAAGTTGAACGGAACCACGTACTTCCTTTTCCCCATATTTCCAACTTCGTATGCTTCCGAAAAAAAGGCATAATATCTTTCCACTCCAAAGAAATATCTTTCGCCCCAGGTTAGTCATACTAGCTACGACAGATGACACATCCACAAGCAGCTCACCGTATGCGAGGTCGTCATTGCCGTCTTCCAGGTTGGTAACATCCACACCAGGAAACAGGTTCGGCCATTCCATTCCCTTTGGGACGCTAAAATTGTTACGAAACTCATTCAGCCTTCGACCAAGGTACGGGCAGTCGAGAGTCACCAGGATAGCCTTGAAGCCGGCAGCTAGAGCTAGTTAGCTATGATGATTCTTCCGCCGATACGTAAACATCTTATACAAACCCTCAGCTCTTTTTAACACGTTTATCATGACCCTCTTATCCTTAAGCAGACTCATTTGCATCATGTATGGGTTACCAGTGCCGTGAGAGGCGACTTCCTCCAACGGCTTGCTCGCGTAATTGGACAATCCCATGGGGACGTTGACGGAGGCCGTCGCTCTGGATGTGGCAACCTCACCGTCAGGATGTGCCAGACCCTGCATCGCGGTAGGTGAAAACCCAAATGGGAATTTGACTTTACTCCCGAATACCGTGGTTGATGGATCAAGATTGGTCAAGTCACGAAGAACCTGCGGGCGGATTCTGTAGCGATCGTAGGCGGATTCATTCTCTCGGAGGCTATGATTTCAAAAACAACATCATGTCAGTTGGAGGGATTCGCAACGTAAGCGAACAAACAAAGCATGAGCAGTACGTGATGAGATCCATGGCTCCTTCATTGTAATAATCTATAACCATCCTCCGCGTGAGCGAATCGTACATTCATTTAGAACTACACTGCGCACCTCTATGAGATTTCGGAAGCTTTGCAGAACCGAGTAGCTGTAAGTCTTTGGTAGAATGGACCTGGTGGTCCCAGGTGCGGCCCCGGTTCGACATGGCTGGCTAATTTCAGACGATCGAGTGTAAAGACGAACGTTGTTGGTGATGAATCTTCTCTAACAAGACAACGGATGATTGAAGGCTCCTACTAGAGCTTTATCTTGGTAAACACGAAAAAAGATAGCTGATATCCCAACTGATGGCATCGTAAGCTGATAACCCCAGCCTTATCTCGGCAATAAACTATCCCAGATATGAAGGAATGAACCGTTGAACCCGGAACTGCGGGGTGAGAAGCGCCAATCGCTTTCGCCTCCCACTCGCTTGAACCTGCCACTAAATCACCTCCGCGCGGGAACACATCCTGATAACTATTAAAAGATACGAATCGGGAGGAGATAGGAGAATTTATCGGAAATGTCACGGTTTGGCCGGTCGGACTAACCCCGAGTAACCTCTCTCCACAATCTTGCCGCACTCATTATACATGCCACTAGGGAATCTATACGATCTCGATACGGATCTAAGAAGCGTCGAGGATAGATTATCCCCTCTCGCGTGTAGCTAGTTTGTTGTTCATCAGATAGTGGATCTCGAAATTACTAAATTTCATATCCACCAACCTGCACGCTGTGACGCTGTCTCCGGGAGGCGGCAACTTAGCTACTTGTTTCCTTATCTATCTATTTACTTGTCTGTCTATAGAAGTAAAATAAGGAATTTAAGAAACTTTTTAGGCTTCTGCGACCAGTTCAATCTCCATTTCCGCCCCTTTCGGGAGCTCAGCCACAGCAACGCAAGATCTCGCCTACGATTATGATTTGTTAGACAATCCGGCCACACATGCCATACAGGAAAAAAAAAAAAAAGAGAGAAGACTTACAGGTTTTGGATCGGTGACGAAAAACTCTGCATATGCTCTATTCACTTCCGTGATATAATCCATCTTAGACAGGAAGATGTTCACTTTGATGACCTTGGATAGACTAGTTCCAGCTGACTCGAGCACGGCTGCCAGGTTCTGGAGGCTTTGTCTCTAGAGGAGGAATACCCAGTATCAGCCATGCCATCACATAATCCAAGCTCGTATTGTAATACTCACAGCCCGATCATAGGTTGAACCGGCAACAAATTCACCGCTCTCGGGGTCGAGGCCAAGAGATCCAGAGGCGAAGACGAAGCCGTTGCACGTCACTGACTGTGACATGAAAGGCGCAGGGGCCGGGGCCTTTGAGGTAAACGATGCAAGTCTGGCCATGGTGTCTTGGAGAGGGAGGATGGTCTGTGAAGGTAAAATCGTGAATAACTACGTAGTTTGGTCTCACCGAGGCTGCCCCTCGTCTTCGTAATAAATATTCTTATCATGTTTTGTATGATGCACATGTTGTTTGTTCATCAATCAAGGTACATCTAGATATGGCTAGTTGACACTTCCCGCTGTCTCCAATTGCCTAAGGGGGCTATCCGGCCAGGGTAGATGCGCTAACATCGGAGGGAGTAGAGAGCGAGATTCGTGCGAAGCATGGTGCACGTCTCCAGGAATATCGGCACATGACAAGGCCGCACGCGTGACTTTTGAGTTGCTCTACGTAGACCCCGAACTAATTTCAACAGTCATAGTGTTTGTCATCCTACAAATAGCTTATGAACGATTCATTCCGGCTTGTCACGATAGCAAGTCATGAGGGACGGGCTCGTCGCTTGGGAAGTGGGTTGAGCGCGTTCCCTTCCGCCCGTCCCAGGGATGGCCTGCATTGAGCTCTCTCAGGGGTTCCCGTCGCTCGGTCCTCCCCTTGTTCTGTGCTGATCTTATCCGTATGGGCTCTAGCCTAGTATCCACTATGTAGGTTCCAACCACCCGGAGAGGTTAAAATCGCTGTGCATTTTGAGAAGGCGCACGCTGACGAGCAAATATTTCGAAAATCTGGGTGGCTACCAATGTAGGTAGTGAAGTTACACAGTTTTCGTCTCAGTAATTATCTCTTTAAGACGGACATGAAGTACATAACATTATATAAACCCAAATTTGTTCGCCCTTGAGGAATAATGGGATTTGATATTGGTTGGAAAGGGTTTTTGATATACGAGGCCATCCAGTAACTGTGGCCCTTGAATTTGATGGCCTTGCCTAGCGTGAATTGGATTTTCCAATGAGTAAATTTCCGTCATCTAAATGAGCGATATTTATCTTCAAAGAATCATTTCCAAGCCATAGAAAAAGGCTACTCGAGATAAATGGTATAGGGTAGCTCAAATCCTCCGACCATTGACCAAAAAGAGAGACCCACTAGGACGACTCTTGTGGAGGGGTCAAAATTGCTGTGTAGCATACTAAAACAGCTAAAGTCACTCTCTCGACTAGGTTCATTTACGCTAAGATAAGCCAATCAAAGTTGATGGATAAGGAAAGGGGATTTTAACTGGTGGGTTGATTATCATCATCATTAGGTTGATATCTGCAACTGCTCTGGGCGGGTTAAAATTGCTGTGCGTGCACCTCCCGCCCCCCGCCTTAGTCACCCTTATCGGTAGAACCTCATTCGTTCTTAGCTGTCTGCTTTGGAGTTCAACAGAGCCAGGAGCTCTGATACCTGTCTGGAAAGCTTCTTGATGTTGTTTATCACGAACCAATCGCAATTATGAATTCAGCCGACCTTGCCTAAGTATGTAGGCGTCTACATGTATGATGCTGGTAGGTACGCGCTCAGCATACCTCGACCAGGCCTCCACGGGGCATCTAGCGGCAATTTGTGGGCAAAATTCGCTCACAGCCGTGCTCTCTGACTAGAATAGGTAGCGGGCAGTTCCGATCCTGATTGAGCGGCAGCAGCAGTATAAGGCAGTCTATATCAAAGACCTTGTGTTCACCAGGTTATCTTTGTATATTGATATAATTAATGCCAAGAACTACAGACCCAAGTTTCCCCGTACATGTACCAAGACCTTTCCTGTGCTAAAACGTGTTCCCAACCTCTGATAAGCTTTAAGCACATCACTGAATTGGAACACTGAGTCTACCACTGTCCTTACTTTGCCCTCCGCCATTAATGCGGCAATCTGCGCCAGGTCATCATGTGAATTCTTCGTGACGTACGCATTGAAAGTATTCTTACTGCCATTGAGGAATGCTGGGAAATATTGACTCGCCAGCAGGTTGTACCCCAAATTCCATGCCGTCGAGAACGAGCTCGGGGCGCCGACAAGTCTGAATAGCCCCCCAGGCAGTAGAAACCTGTCCGCCGAGCCAAAGAGATTTAGATTGCCAACATTGTCGATGGCCACGGCGTACTTATTGCCACCACTCTGCAGTGCCGCCATGATATCTGTTTTCTTGTAGTCTATGACCTCGTCTGCACCGAGCTCCCGGCAGAGCGCGACCTTTGTGGTTGAGCATGAGACGGTGACATGGCAACCCAGTGCCTTGGCAATTTGGATGCAAAATGTACCGGTGCCGCCGGAGCCACCATTAATGAAGACCTTGTCGCCTGCCTTGACAACAGGCGCCAAGGTCTGGTATGCTGTCTGCGCTACGGTTGGGGCGCCAGCAGCCTGTTCGAACGTTACCGACTTCGAAATGACAGCGACGTCGTCGTATGAGGCGACGACGTACTCAGAAAGTGAGCCTGCGGAATTGAAAGGGAACATGCGGCCCAGAACATTGTCCCCTGGCTTAATATCAGTGATATCGGAACCCACGGCGATGACTGTGCCGCTAAAGTCGGTGCCAAGAGTCTTGGGGAACGGCAGCTGTAGTCTGGCTACGAGACCAGCCTCTGCTAATTTATAGTCTGCTGGGTTGAGGCCGACAACAGCGACCTCAACGAGGACTTTGCCTTTTTCAACATCCCTAGAAGGCCGGGGTGCGGTTGTGAGAGTAAGGGTCTGAGAAAGAGGGCCGGGGTTGCGAACTTGCCAAAGGCGCATCTCATCTCCCATCGGAGCCGAGATCATTTTGGATGTCGGTCAAATTCTATATGATATTGGAAATAGATGTGGGGAAGAAGAAACGTCTGGCGAATTCATTGCTCTAAATAGTAATCCACTCTGCCGATTGAAATGCGGGATTCGGGCTTGGCTAAATGCTAAATTCTATGGCGAAAAGGTCACGGGCGTTGACGTGACCCGCGATATGCGTCGTTAGATTTATAGAGCATCGATGGCTCTGATTTTCTCTGTCTTGCCCTGCCCATTGCACCACGCTTACACAAAAGCTTCTAGTACCACTTTGCTGCTTTCTAGGATAAATCGCATACAACTAACCCTATTGGTTTGGTTGAAGTGGCATGTGTCGAAGAAATATTCTCGCTGGAAATATAGAGATGTATCTGTTGAAACGGCGGATTTAGTACCACCGGCTTTCGACTTACCGGCTTACCTCCCGGCGACTTTGATTTCGGCGACTTTTCGTTCAGCGGCGGAGTTCCGCCCGGCTACTTTCGATTTAGTGAGAACTGAGAACAATTTTGGTGTACAATCGGTCTAATCTCGCTGCAAACTTAGGGGCCCTGTAGGAGAAGAAAGCATAGAAATTAGACATGATGTGCCTTACCCAAAGAGAAGTAAGCGAAGACGGAAAGATGGATGAATTGGGGGGGAACACTGATAGAGTATTTGACATGCATCGGGAAACAACATCTGGGTATGATGATGGTCACACCTACAACAGCTTGTGGAGGCTGGCTGATCAGCTTTAAGAAAAATGGTAGCACGAGGTCCAAGGTCATGGTCACAGGAAGGCGGACATGAAGATGGCCCCCATACCAGGAGACAGATTAGCTCCAGGTTCAAGAAAGTTGCTACAAAGAATAATGAGGCCCATAAGCAAGTAACTGGCTAGGAACTCAGTCTATCCAAAAAGAGTCACTGAAGAAAGTCTTTTTTGCTCAATAAAGAATAACGGTACCAAGAAACTTGTTCCTAAAGAGAAGACAACCTGGAAGAGGGTTACTTCCACTAAGAAATGTGCATTGAGAAAAGGTTGATCTCAAAAGACCTACACCAACAAGGGCTACGGCAGTTAAGAGTCCTACTGCGTTTGCAACAAAGGTCTCTTCAAGGAAGGGCAAGAATAGAGCCTACCAGTAACAAAGTGGCGTAAATTTGAATTAAAAGGAGGACATCGTCGGCAAACTCGGGGAAGACGAGGTCAATAGACTTTCTCTGCCTTTGAGATAAGGGATATCCAGTTTGTGGGTATTATTTACTGTTTTTCTTTGGGCAAGCCGCTTCAATATATATTGAGGTACTCACATATGACTTGTTGGACTTCTGCAATTGTTAGTTGTTTGAAGACCTCCGGCTCATATCATTATAGTTGTTTCCTCCCTTTGTTGATTCACTTGTAAACTTTCAGTGAACTCTGCAAGATTCTTTCTCCTTGTCAATTGATTCGGTGGAGGTGATTTTGGTATTCCCGAATGGGTAGATGTAGAGTTGGCTCGCCTTGCTGATGGATGGGGCAGGGAGCAAGTGATGGCTTGAAGCAGATTAAATGGATAAAAAACGAACTAAAGCTTACTTAATTCATTTGAGAGATTCTAAGCAGGAACTGTCGTCCAGGGCTATTCCATCCATTCGGCGTTGGTGATTGGCTGCTGTGAAGCGCCGAGTTGCATTGCATGCATGATTCTGGCCTGTTGGTCGCCTGCGTAAATTTCTCATCCATCAACACAATGAAGTCGCTCTTCAATTGATACACTGTAAATGATGGTAGGAATAACCCGGCACGTGAAATCCACGGCGTGCCATAACTGTAAGCGGAAAAGAACAAAGGCAAGCCAGACCAGTCCCTTCCCGTCCTTTTGTGATGGCACGCTCATTGAAACCCCTCAGTGCGATAAAAACTGGCCCACGTGCACCCAATGCATTCGCAAAGGGGTTCAATGCCCTGGACCTTCGCCCTTGGTCAAGTTTGTTCCCGCCGCACACCCCCCCGCGGTTGGTTCGGCCAGTGCTCCAGAGTCAGCAGAGCCAGTCCAACCAGCAAGGATGGTAAATCGGGGACCAATGAGGCCCTATGGTGCCGGAGGTGCAATTGAAATGTGCTTCCGCTTCCAACTTCCTCGCCCCATGATGGGTACAGCTGCGGACCGTGTTGGAAGACAGTTGGTCGGCCTATATGAAAGCGAACAAACCAGCATTTTCGCTGGGCCAAGCTATCTGGAGTTCTGTCCCCAGAGACTGTCCCAAAGCAGTTGCTTGGTCGACTGTGTGGCGATATATTGCGCCAGCTGGGTTCGGGCCAACCGTGGCCAGTCAGTCAAGGATGTTCTTGGATCCCGCCTCTTTAAAAACGCCATCAGGAGTCTACAAATTGCGACTAATAGCAACGAAGCATACACTCCAGAAACCTTGGCTTCTATGGTAATCTTCGCTCGTCTATTAAATTTTACAGGGGAATACGAGCACAGCCAACTAAGGGACCATCATTTCGGGATCCGCCACGTCGCTCAGCAATTGGGGTTACCAGGACAAGGTGACTTGCTACATACAAGACTTATTTCAGAGACCGCAAGCTCAATGGTATGCTTCTTCCTTCCTTACTTTCTTTCTACAATTCATCACAGACTGAAGCACACACAGCCAATTACTGGAGGAGTGACCGCCAATGTGAAAGAATCACCTTGGAAGGAGCAACGTCCATTGGGTGACTCTCCCTTTTGGGATAAAGACAGAGGAGAGGGAGAGGAGGAGGAGGAGGAGGAGACTGAAGTCGATTGGGATACAATAGATGAAGCTTACGCGGGATATAACGACGAGGACCCAGAGGACGACGACATGGTAGATGACGATATAGCGGACGACATGGACGAAGCATTCACCGCAGCCGAGAGCAACTTCGAAGAGGTTCAAGCTTACCTCGAGAGAATCTGGTTGCCTGAATTACTCGAAATTTGGACGAATCCTCTTGGAAGAGAAGAGAAAACTATCTCACTTTTGAAAATTATAGCCAAAGCCGAAAGACTGTTTGGGAAGTCTTTAAAAGAGGCATGGACAGGCTGTCTCTCTATAGGCGTTATTTAGAAGTTTCAGGACCCGAATTTCTTTCTCGGTCACAGCTATTCCTTCTCGGATTACCAGTTTACCGGAATGTTTTTAATAATGCTCACATACCAGTCATTTCTTGTGCGGATTCTTTACGAATTCAGTCAATTGCTCGGGGTTCGAGATGCCGCGCTCTATGATAAGTACCGTGGTTTGTGCGTGCGCATCTGGGCATGTGCTCCCAGCTTGTCCAACTTAGACCCTATCTCTAACGTTGGTACATTCAAACTGATGTTGCCATCTTTTGAAATTGCGACTGACGAGGAGCTTCGGCATATCCTGGACCTGAACATAGAGTTAATCGGGCATGGAAGGACGGGCAACGTGGACATACCAACGTTAAGGCCAATTATAATCCAAGTGGGGGAGAAATTTACCGGGAGACAAGAGTTCAAGCCTGCATGAAGATCAGGGTATAATTAAGCACAAATGTTTTTCAGAATTGCTGCATCAGCAATTAATTGCTTCCTGAGCTGAAGAATAACTGAGCCAAAGTCTATAACAAGGCCTAGTCTCTCAACAATATCTTGGTATTCATACCGATAGCACATCGATTTGCGGATACCAAGACTAGGCTACGTACCCATAATGATAGCCATATCCAGCCCCCATACATTCTTGTTAACCTATCATCATGCTTTTGTATAAATGGACTTGGTGTATTTGGGTACGTGAGAGCAGTTTTATATCTTTAATTTGGATCTCATCTGACAAGCTTCATTCAGGAGCAGCTCATGCAAACTTGCCACTTCCACGAGCTGACCAACTTGAGCGGTGATGGGGGCGCGCAATATGTTCTTTATCCACCTAGTATCTGCCATGCCATGACATGAAGTTATTCGAGAGCTCTGGCGAATACAATAGTAACTTCCCATCAGTCTCGTTTCAGTACACTCCTAGCTCCTACCGCTATTCGAGTTGAAAAGAAGCCAAGGTTGGAAAGATATGAAAATTAGCTATATCAATCCGCTCTGATTGTGTTTAAACAAATCTATACCCCCCTTTAAGGGTTGGCAGCGAGGAAGCATCATAATGCGAGGGTTAGATATAGGAATGACCTCCCAACTGATGGACAGTCTTCGTTTTGTACTTGCTGTTGTCGCTAATCATCCAAAGTGCCGGAGTTCCGTGTGGATTTCATTGCGGAGTTCTTGATATGAAGCTGACCACTGCTTGCCCCCAATCTGCCGCCTTCCGTGATGCCGCGAGACTCGAAGTGGTTACTCGTGTTCCAATTTGAGATTCTTCCCCACTGCAGTCGGCAACATCATCCGGACGGAATCCTCTCGGGCGTGAATAAGAGCTCTCTTCATGCCTCGAAGACGGGAAATTTCCGCCCTATTGATACAGATCTAAGCGTAGAAGCGACTGAGTGGTCAGTCGAGACTGCATTAGCTGCCTCTGCCCCATGTCAGTTTCGGTAAAGAAGAGCCGCGTACGCGACTCGGTGCCACTTAGAGATCTATCGGCTTCTAGTATAATAAGCCTAAGAGACCCAGGAGATTATCAAGAACAAGGGATAAGTGACACACGGGAATAATAACAACTACGGACGAAGCGCGATGATGAAGACGGTTCTGCTCTCTCTCCTCTGGCCTATGGCTGCTCTCGCGGCCACCACCACAAATCTCACCACAACAGGCTGTGTTGACGCCTCGGGCCTTCAAAAGTGCCTTGACAACGTTGCCTCCACTGCACAGACGTGCCTGGATAATGCGCGCAAGGCTGGCAGCCAGGCCGAGATTATCGCCTGCGGGTGTGTGTACTACACCGACAACGTCAACTGCTACGCCGCCAGCTGCTGGAACCGTGTCTACGAGTGCGAGTACCAGAAATATGTTTACGAGTATCTAAAGAACTGCGAGACCGCCAAGCTTCCCCTGCCATACTTCCCTGCGCCAGATAATGCACCGGATGCGTGCTCCTGCAACCTCGGAAAGGTGTACCAGACGTTCCTTAACAATCTTAACGAGGGTACCTCGTGCATCAAAGGATCGTCATCTTTCGGGAAAAGGGATGCGCTTGGATCAATTAACAAAATGGTCGCCTGCGAATGCTGCGCAATGAGCGGCGCTCTTTCCGGGTAAGAGAACAGCGATCTAAACCGTAGCATATCTCGAGACTTACCTGGCCTTTGCAGCATATACGAGACATGCCCTGACACCGATCCCAATCTCGTTGGCCTATCATACGTATCTCAGCTCGAAACTCTCTACAACCAGCCATTCTCGTCTTGTGCCCCCTACATGTCCTCTTACGATTGTCAGAAGGATCTCAGCTTCACTGCCGCTAGCAGTTACATCTCGCCCGGCAGTGCCCTTACCACCGGCAAGGGGAGCCTCTCAAACGGAGCTGGCAGCGTGACCAGCCCGGGAAGCGGTTCCGTTTTCTCATACACCAACCTGGCCGACAGCGTTGTCTACACAATCACCGCGGCGAGCGCGAGCGGGAATCATAATAGCGGAGGAAGTGGAAGCTCGAGTGGCTCGGCTCAGGCCAGCGCGACTGGTAGCAAGAGCAGTGATCAGAAGGGCGCAGCTATGGGCATCAGTGTAGCAGGGAAAAGCGCCCTGCTGGTGATTCTTACGTTTCTTGTGGTCATTCTATAGGAGCAAAGGGTCTCATACTAGTATTCGTAATCAGTCATATACTTGTAAAGAAAAATGTAGCACTAGGTCCGTCGATAATTTGAGTGACAGTCGAAGATGTTTCCTTCGTCAGGGGTCCCACCTAACAACCTATGGCAATCCTGCCTGTTGGACACTCCAAGCTCTGAAATTGAGCCTGGGCGTTTCTATCCAGTAGGCTGGGCTGATGGACCCAAGTCTTACTTAGCGGGTGTTTCTTACCTTTCTCTTATTCAATGCATCTATGAAAGTGATTCGCGTGACCCCAAAGGTCTTTGTTAAGCGGTGTGAGAGACATCACGGCCATTCTAGGCGTATTTCCATTCAGCTCATTGTCAAAACAATTCAAAGTTGATGAGAAGTTCCTGTTATTGAGCATACCTCATCCTACTGTCCTGAGTATGCAACACAAACGAGAATTATGCCTAACCCGTACACACTCCGTTTCTTAATCAGCTTCCTCTCTGTTAAACACTCCTTTGTAATAAGCTGGAAAATGACCATTTCATGAGTCTAACCCTAGGTTCATCACTCTCCGCTGTTGATCCCCTGGCAATAGTTCCTCTTAACACCACTTGCTTGCTTGCCAAGACCGGCTCGTATGCGGGTGACGACATATCGATCGGAAGTAGCAACTTTGTCAAGTAGAGCACCTCCCAAACGGTCCAGACTCTCCTGGTCCTTCGAGATCGAGTCACGGATGGCGTTACAGACTGGAGCCATGCCAGCAAATGGCTGTCGTGCGTAGTTGAGGTTGACATACACTTCCTGGTGCTGGCTACTCCACTGTTGGCAGAAAATGCATCGTTAGTATGAGCTGGCAAATGAAGCATATGTCACAGTCATAGTCGCCACTTACGCTGGAATAACCATTCATGACTGTTTTAGAATCAGAACTGCTATACTGGGAGGACAAAGCTTCGACGGAGGCAGATATTTCGTTGGCGAGATGGTCAATTTCATCAATGCCTTTGAAGATATCCTAAAGCAGACCAACACATGTTAGTCTCTAAGACTGCGAAGTAGAAGGCTACTTGGGTAAATTACCTGGAAGCGGCTTGATGGGCTGTTGATATTGGTACCATCCTTGGCCTCGAGCTTTTGGGCTTTGTTGATGCAGCGGGTGGAAATATTCTCCATCTTCTTGAATTTGTTGCTGATCTGCGTCGGTGTGAGAGCTGCACTAAGAGCTGTACAGCTCAGGACAAGGAGTGAAGCAAGACGCATTCTGCCAGATGGAGGTGAGGAGTAGACAACTGTAAGTGAAAATGGAAAGATCCGATGGAATGAAGAGAACCATCACAGTTCAGGATCATTGGTACTCTTTATACTTAGCTCAACTAGCTGAAATGTAGTGAGGAGTAAGACAGGACCCAAGTCTAGACCGTGAAATGGTCGACGGCGGTCAATGCAACTCGGCTTACTCCGTATCCAATGCAGCTGTCTAGGCTCGTATGCTGCAGCTCCATGCAGTGGTAGGCAATGGAGTCGTTCTACTGGCTGCAGCTGTTCAGCTCGGCGTGTTTATTGGCATCGTATTAGCCCAGTGGCGTCTAGTTCTGACTGTCCCGTGTCTGCACGTTGTGCCGGATTCCGAAAACGGTGCCCCGAACACCGTGGCCCGAGCCACTTTATTTTAAGCTTCGATACCTCACTCTTAACTCTGTACAGAAGGCAAAAGATGGGGTTTTATAGTTACTAGGAAGGGTGTAGTGTGTCGGTCCAGCCGTTGGGCGATGCGGTGTAGTTCCAGTCCGCTAACAATTCAAACTCCTTCAGAAACCACTGTTTCTGCAGCTATACTTGTCCTCCCGGATATCAAAGCACCAATTTACCGAATTTGGTGCGAAGCTATCAGACCTGGCGGATTCCTGACGAATTCCTGACGTTTACCGCGCTTGATAGCTAGGCTAGGGTAACATTTCACGAATCTCGTGGTTCAGTGCTTGCCCAAAGGCTTGTCATCGCCTTTTCGATAAAGGATAGCCTCGGCACAGACACAGAGGTAGCTATGGAGCACTACATCGGCGAATCACGCCGACAAAGTCTTGATGTGGCATGCCATCCTAGAATCATAGCTAGAATGAAACTATATGAGCAACTAAGCAGCACTTCTGGGCTAATCATTGGGGTCTCCCAGTCACTTTGGCGCTTAAGGACAAACCTTATTTGCCCATGGCCGGTCACTTGCAGGAGCTGAAAGATGACTGCAGAAATGTGTCCACCAACACGCACGTCCAAGCCCAATAAGAATCTTCTGTTGGCAGTCAGGCTTGACAAGTTGAAAAGAGCGAAGATCAGCAGGCCTGCCAAGTGGTGCTTATATGCGTATACTTTGGTCTTTGTCTTCGTATTACCTATCAGTCTTGCGTTCTTTTGTAACCGTACCCAAAAGACTGCTGCTTCACCATAGCAATATCTCACGACACTATGATGAAAAAGACTTGGTTTCTACCTCCTGACTTCACCTTTCTTCCCGATGGAGAGGTCCGACTTGGTATGATACTTAAATACCCTGATCGCCCAACTCTTGCGCTCGATTCGCTCGAATCACTCGTTCCGTCTGACCCCGGACAAACACCAACGATCTATCTCCCAGAGGTGTCGAGCCTGACTGAGACGGACCACGAACACTCCATGAGCTCTGGACATTCAGCCAATTTTATTTTATTCGCCAAGTTTATGGAACTTGCCTCGGCATCCGGAAAAGCCGACACCGCGCAGTACAAGGATTTTGCGCTTGGAACCGTTGACCATGAGATCCGCACCTACGACGAGCTCTCAGCCCACCAACACTGCAGCGACAGCAATGTTTGACACGTTACATGATGTCCCTTTACATGTATCAAATCACGATAATATTTCTTACAAATTTGGCTCCATAGGCGTACATAACGTCGTCATGACAGTTCTGCCAGACGGGGTATTCGGGTTGAGCTCTGCGGCATCTATTTATGTTTCAATGAGACAAACGTTCCCGTCTATAAACTACATTTCTATGGTTGGTACTGGGGGTGGTGTTCCGCCTACAATCCGGCTCGGCGATGTGGTAGTCGGTACGCCAACTGCACACTATGCTGCAGTTGTTCAGGTTGAACAAGTCAGTCGCATTGATATTGGCAGATGATTCAACTGGAAGCGGCTAGGCTCACTTGAATACCCCTCCGGGCTGATGTCGAAGGTCTTCTCGCTGTCTACGGACGGAATGGCATGGCTGAGCACATAAACAAGGCAAAGGAAATATATTCAAGGCTAGGCTTAGAGTGGAGCGACCCCGAAAGTCTCACAGATGCCCTGTTCGATTCTACCAACCTACCTCTAAACGAGCCAGACACTGCTGCCACTCGAGACGTAGAAGAAGCTAGAAACGAGAATGATTGTGTACACGGTGACAAAACCAAGATAGCCCAACAGGCGCCCAGACCTGTGAAAATTCACTTTGGGTTAATCTTGTCCAGTAATATGGTCATCAGAGATGCCAGGGCCCGGGACAGTCTTAATGAGAGCTTTGACGGAAATGCTCTCTGTATCGACTTCGAGGCAATTGGACTGCCAAATGACTTTCCCTGTGTCGTGATTCGAGGCATATGCGATTATGCTGACTCTCACGATACGAATACGTGGCAGTACTATGCAGCGGTGGTCGCGGCAGCTGCCGCCAAAGAACTACTGGCACAACCGGGTTGGGGTTCAATTGGGGCCAAGGAGACAACTACCGGTAAGTTCAATACGATATCCATTACTTCGATCATATTGCGTTCTTTTTCCAGGAACCCATATCAAGCTTCACGATCTGCACGTAATTACCCTATCGCTTTTCTTCCCTTTGGCGCGTTAACATTCATCGAAATTTCCCTTGCAGCAGGGGTTTTAAAATCACATGGCAGCTAACGAATCTCATTGTAGTCACCGCCGACATCACGGACAAATTCAACAGCACTGGACATTCTTGAAAGAAACTCGTCTCGGCGGAGAATTCACAGAGACGCTCCAGCTAGCAGTGCTCAAGCTACGTTAATCAGATGCCAGGTTAGAACGCACTGACGGACGCGCATGTAGTAGACTTCAGTACCAGGCTACGCATAATTGAGGCTCCGCTCTTGAGCGGAATAGACCCTGCTCCGGCAGCGTCTGGCAACCCAATCGATGGGAATCACTGGCGTAACCAAGTGCAGCATTTATGCAATATACCATCGAGGGCTGCTGAGCCTGCAACCTCTCCTCTCCTCTCGACTATGTACGAAGGTCTAAAGAGCGCAGGCGCTAGTCCTATCTTGCAATCTGTGGAAAAAATGGTGGGCTCTCTAGAGGTGACTAAGGTAGGATGCGAGAAATCTCGATGAGCTACGGCGCAGCGACGCAGACAAGATCCTCAGCCATCACTTGGCCAGCGAGTACAATGTCGATCTCTTAAGGCAGAATGCGAGATCCTCGGACTACAGTTCAGCGAGCGGCTGAACATTGAGGGCAACACTAGCATCCACGTGGGGGTCGCACTCGGAACTCCGTGTGCGCTTCTGGCCCCTCTTGAAAGCCGCCTCTAGACAGGCTCCGGGGTAGACTGGACCCCTGATTCGGCGACCGGCATGGTTAGGTACAGGGAACGTAACAGTTGTCTGATCACCCCTCTTTTTGTTGATTTTCCAGTCGTGGCATAGTGGCGATGCGCGCTGCACTGGACCTCGGCACTTACTCGCCATCCACATCTCTTCTGTAGCTAATAGTAGAGTCTAAGTATTCTTCAGATCAGGGGCCTGGATAATACAAGTGACGCTTTTTAATCATCACTCGCCGCTATAGCTCGGTATATAACTTGAATCTTGGATTGTATTAACTGTAACGAAAGCAAAGGGAGTTAGTCCCCCCTTGTATAAAGAACTGCCTGTTATATCTTTCCTTAGCTCTCCTTATTTCGTTCTTACCCCTGCTGATCCTACTTGCTTTTTTGCTTCGTTCTTGATTTAATCTAAGTTCTGTCTATTACTTTCAAAGAGGTCACCGCAGGGTACATCCGTCCAGCATTACGGTGGATACAAAACTTATGAAGTATCTTATGCAGGTTACTACCCAAATAATACATCTCCTCTGGCAGGATAAGGCCTATGACTAGGTATAGCAATAAGTGCATAATTCGGGGTCTGCGTGGCTGCCATAGTAGTCTCGGTGCGCAGGCCGCAGCGGCACCAACATCTCAACCGTCACTTGAAGAGTCCTCGGGTCCTGTCTTGAATGGGTATCTTTAGCTCATTGGGCATTTGGAGCGTGCAATCGTAGAGCCGTCCAAGTCTTCAATAATGGTCTCGTCTAGTTGTACAAACCTTGGCTTTTTGTTTTCATTGGTCTGGATCAATGCTTGTCAGTTGTTGATCGATATACGCACCAAAGGAACAAAGTGAGAGAGCTATTCGACTTACCAAAGCTCCAAGAGCGATGAATTCATGCCGAACATACCACCGACCATCATTATTCCGCATGATGAACCCCATTGGTGCGCCGGTCACCATTTCGCCATTATATCCCCCGGCGATCAATCTCTTTGGGCTGAATGTGGTATCCCAGATCCTGTCCTCGACCGATGGAAGGTGGCCTGGTGCGGAAAGGCTGAGTATCTGGTCACCCCCATTCAGCTTGACCTTGTTCTCGATTTCGATAATTCGCGTTCCGACCGTAACCATCTTCTCCTTTTCCCAGAAACTCTCTCGCGATGTGCCGTATTCCGTTATCAGTCGCAGGGCCTTTAGCCTGATGGACCGATCCCGGCACTTCATGAGAATGAAATACGCCAGCGGGATGAAGCCGATTTCGAATCGAATCTCGGGACCGATCCTGCTCCTCTTTTGTCTTTGTATCGTGCGGCCGAGGATTTCCGTGTGAACGATCATCTCGCGAAACGTGTCCATCCAAGCGTCGAACTGCATCTCGTCCTTTTCCAACGCTGTCGCAATCCATATCTGACAAAACTTCGCACGGAGCACAAACGAGGAGTATCTGGCGTCTGCGTCTCCCATATGCGGAAAGTTCTCTCGTAGGTTCCCCATCAAGTCCTGCAGATTGTCTATCGATTTCGCCAGAATTTCCTGTTGGCCAAGTAGGTCGTCCGGAGCAGACTCAGTAGCTAGTTCGCCGAAACGGTACTCATCAGCACTGCGAACGAACTGCAGAGATAGGGGAAGCAGTTCTTCAAGGGCCTCTTCCGCATCCTGAAATGTCGTGGCAAAGTAAGTCGGCCGCTCGTATGTGGTGAACCCCTGGATCGGCGGGGTTTGTACGCCGAACATGAGAACCATGACCTTCAAGCGTTGGAAGATTGGGGTCAGCGTCTTTCTTGTTGTTTTATCTACCGTTCTCAGTATTTCTAGGCCGTGCCGCGTGTGCGTGATTGCTTGATCTCGGTTGCCTAGGATGACTTCGAGGCAGATGAAGAGCACACACGCTACCAGAATGGTAGATGATTCCTTGACCTGCCGAAGCCGCGTAACGGCAGCGGAGTAATGCTGTAGAGCAACCTCATTTCGTTTCGATAGAAGCAGCTCCTCGTTTTCGCAGTTGTATTTCTCATAGATTGAACTGATGGCAACAATGGCATGGCGCACAGCCGGCTCGGAGCGTCCCAGCTGCAAAACCAGATTTGTCCAGAAATATGAGCTGTGGGGTTCCGCTAGCGTTCGCGAGACACGGACGTTGAAAAATTCGATAGCCCTCGCTTCTATAGGGCTAATTTGCTGAGGGTTGGGGGTTAAAGAGGTCAAAGACTCTATCCGGCTTTGCTCCGGTTTTATGGCCACTCGATCGGACTACACAGTTACGTGGCATTAGCTGCTAAACATATTCGAGAGGCAAAATTTGATTCTTAAGATGGACGTACGCGCTGATACCTCCTTGAGGAAAATTTGGAGGGTTTATTATCCTGGTCTCGGCCACGCAAGGTTACTGTGGTCTGGTTGACAAAGATGAGGTCCTTTTCGTAACCGGGACAAACGTGCCCATGTTTGATGCACTGAGAACAGCTCGGGCGCTGGGCATCGCACTGCAGAATACACAAATCGATCAGTGGGACATTCAACGGCTCAACCTGGCCTCGTTGCAAGGAGAATGGAGGAACTATACCCGTCTCTTGCGCTTCATACACCAATGACATGCTTTCGAGCGGCCTGGAACCCCCACCATTGCGGCGTATGATGCGATAATAGGCAATAAAAAGATCTTCTGTAAATGCGTGCTTGAGTGCCGGTGGCCACGAGGGGGATTGTCATGCATTTGTCAAATGCCGATGAGGTTTGATTCTGCGCCGGCTCTCGTTCAAGACCAACAACACAAGACCAATATGGAGGGCCCACATCTTTTTGGGCGCAGAATATCTCCATTTACGGAAAAATTGAAGAGCCCCCTGGCTAATTAGAGACTATTGGCTTGACCACATAAGCATAATAAGCATCGACCTTGGCAGGTGGATAAGAGAAAACATGGTACACCTTGAATTTTCGAATACGGGCAACATCTTGCGAGCATAAATACATCAAACTATCACGACACTCGGGTTTGTCGTGGGTTCTATTGGCTGCAAAGAATACCGAGTTCAGAAGTCACCGATCAGACGCTGAGCTCAGCTTATGGTGTATCAGGCTATTGATCCTTTAGATGCCAAGACAAACTTTCTCGTACCCGATGATTCTCGGTCTACCAGAAGATCAATAGCGCAATAGAAAGATAGACGGGTGGTGTGTTATGACGTTCGTTCGAGTTCCGGGATGTGGAGGGGCATGACTAGCAGTTAGTTTACAGATATAGAATTTGACTTGACAGGCTGGAGCCCTTTGAGTATTGGCCAAGGATGTTTCTGCCTCAAACAGGCAAGATCCCGGCAGTTACCCATTGTTACCCACCCCATGACCTTCCATATGCCGGTTGTATATACGGCGGTATAAGTTCGTGATGGTCGGTGAACCCTGTCCCTAGTGGTATTCCGCGGCTGAGCTATCCGCGGCTGAGCGGCTCTCATGACCGATATCCACCGGGCAGCTCTTCCAATCGTACTCGGCACCTCGGTTCCGAGCATCTCGCCTCGCGATTCAGCTTATGTCCATATGCAAGAGCGGCCGCCCACAGGTTAAGTTCTTGCCTGTCTGGACCTAAGGCCACCACGAAACGTTTCCAATTTTACTTTAGTACCTAATGACAACCTTTCAGAAAGTCATCCCCGCCCGGGGCCAGGTCGCTTGAATCAGCACGTCATCAAGCAACTCTTTCAAGGCTCTCAGTAGAGAGCATATACTCAATACACTTCTTCATGGAACAATCCAGCCCTTTTATGGGTAACTCCTACTTCCATTCGCTCGATCATCCAACTCAGCTAAAATAGTTAAAACTAAACTTGCTAGACGAAAGGTTCGTAGCTCCTAGCATCTACTCCCACATTCTTGGCGTAAGCATGTCACGTCTTTAGGGCAGACGATGATTTATACTTGGCTAACGAGAGAAGTGCTGTTTCGTATAGAATTTCCTTATTCAACCACCACATTTTACTATTTGGCCATCTACCTCCACCCAACTGTAGCTTAACCCAGTTATATTCCCTCTCGTGGGGGCTCTCGCCACCCCCTAAACAACCCCCTAACCTGACCTAACCAAAGTTTTTAGGGGTAGATTGCTGTTCTTCAGCTATATTCGGGTGGCTAAATAATGAAATGTGGTCACAGGGGGTTGAGGGGGAGGAGATGTCACTATTGGGGCTTATATGGCAACAAGTGGCTATATTGCCCTCTCAACTGCCCTGTCCCTCGTCAAGGCGAGCGATTGCTATGGTTATGACTTGTGTGTCTGCTGTTAAGACGAGCGATTGCTGTATGGCTAAGCTGGCTACCCCTGATGAGATACAGCTAGTTTAGCGTTGTGGCGATCATTCGTTTTAAAAGCTGACAGCTGAATCGAGTCTGCAGACATCACTTATCATGGAGAGAGACAGCCGGGTCATGCCCGTAGCGATCGCTCGTCTTAACAGCAGACAACCGGGTTAGCTTTTCAGCAATCAATCGTCTTGATGAGAAATATGCTGGTCGGCTTCGCAGCTGTTGCTCGTCATCACGAGAGATACGCTGGTTGGCTTCGCAGCTGTTGCTTGTTATGACGAAAGACAGACTGGTCGGCTTTGCAGTGACTGATATGTTGAGAAGGTAGTTATTATGATTAGTCTGATATCCGCCAAAGCCCCTGTAACTAACAAAGACACACAACACAGGTGGATACGGGTTTGAAAGGTGATGACAGGCCTGGGTTACATTCTAGTTGGATCCGATCGAAATCAGGGCTAAATACTTGACTTTCCAGGCACCTTCTCGCCTAATGTAAGTACCTCAGTCGCCCCACTTGCTTTGCCAGTCCTTCCAGCGAATCATAGAAAACGTACAGAAGGGCCTGTCTGACAATCCGATTGGTTAGATTGCTTAAATTTTATCATTTTGATCAGGAAAATCATTTGAAAGTGGAGACTTATTTTATCTAATCAAATTATCTCGTGAACTAAGCTGATCTCGGTATTACAGTGTATTGTAGGTGTTTTTAATGCATTTTAGGGTATTTGACAAGTGTTTCCTAGCAACTATCCATCCGCCAGTACTGGTAGTTTGATATGTAGTAAGATCCATAGTATATAGCGACGCGAACCAAACAAGATGTTGCGTATCGCCGATATACCTCCCCTCAGGATTTACGATTTACGATTTCCGCCAATGATATGGGCTTATTAGTCGGTTGAAGGCATCCGGTCGGCCGAAAAAGTTTCAAAAACCGGCTTCGAGTGGGGGTTTTTCGCGACACCGAGTTACATCTGCCAGTTTGGAGATGACGCTACCTGTGAGGCTGTGCCAGATCGCCAATCAGTGTCCCTTCTGACATAATCGGTCGACCTTTTCGATAGTTCGCATGATCAACTCCGCACGCAGTCGGTAGCGAGAGGCACACGTTCGGGACCGAAACACCGCTCGCTTCTCCCGACCTCGGCCACACATAAACTCCAAGGCCTTAACAGATTGTGGCCGGTCCTCAAGACGTGTGCCATATAGAATTATACCAGTTAATTGGTCTTAGTTGTGCTCAGGCGCTTGGCTCGCGCGGAGTTTGCTCACAAGGTTCTGTTTCTAAGTGTTGGCCTAGCGGAGCTCATCGGATAGGGAGCCAAGTCCGTCAACGTGGCTGATACAACGTTGCGTCCATGATTCTACACGTATCCAGTGATGCCTCCTTAAGTTTTCAGAGGGCTGAGCGGATGATGGTAAGAATAGACTTACGGTGAGGCCGTCCTGCCTAATCAAGATGGGGTTTGGTTGTTACTGGTAGGATGGGCCCATCTCGATGGCCTTGGCTTCTGCTCGGAAAGTGTTGGACAACTTCCCGATGCATTATTCAGCTTGGCTCAGGATGATACAGGCTGATACAGGCTGATACTTTAAGGGGTCGTTTAATGAGGTAAGAAATCTGCCAGACAGGCTATCTCGCTTGTTTCAACCTTCAGAAACCCCTCGGGAATTCTTCCGTTTATCTATGAAGTTATCACAAAGCTTCAAATATTCTTACATGCAACTTCCAAATCTCTATCTAATTATGCCGAGGTAATCGATTATCTCGCATTCCAAAATTCAGGGAACGGGGTAGCCAGCGAGGGGCTAATAATAGTCAGTAGATTTCCGATGCGCCAGGCTAGTTCGACACAGCCTTCAACACGACAAGATTCGAGTTCCAGGTCATTTAATGGCAGTGGGAGTACTCATTATCAACTCGAGGAGACTTAAATGAGACGACCAATTGGTTCAAGAACAATATGGCTACCTTGCAGGAAATTTGCCTCGCCAACTGTGGCTGGGTGCCACGAAACTCGAAACGCCAATCAATATCTTGACCTCGACCAACTCTTGAGACGATTTGTGGTTCTCTGCCAGTAATAACACGTTTAGGACACTGTAACAGGACCAATTTGGAGAGGTTCGAGGCCCAATAAGATGTTGCAGCATCACGTGAGAATTGCAGTGGCTGAGTAACACTTTTGTGATTACGCCTCAACGCCGTCATTGTTCAAAGCATTGGGTATGGCACGTCTTTAGTTTCAGGCCGCGGCGATGGAAGACCTGGTGACGGGCTTGGCCCTTCACTGGCAGCTACAATGCACTATCGAAGAGGGCTGCACGACCCACACCAAATACGTGTCTGACCATGCGACAGGAGTTCGGCGGATACCCATCCAGGAGAGGTGGGAGCGTGATGAGCAAAGGCTGGGACAGGGCACCTTCGGTGTTGTTTGGCGAGAGGTCTGCACATCGGGCCCGAGCAGGGGCAATTCGCGTGCCGTGAAGCAGATTTTCAAGAACTTTGGCTCGCGGTCGATCTCCTCCAGGGCTCTATCAGCCGAGCTCTCTGCCATAATGAGGTTCTCCAATGAGCCGGTATGTGGTGCCCATGCATTTATTCGCTGTTCGTGATTTGTCGCTCACTATACTACAGTATCGCGATTACTTCGTCAGGTCATACGGTTGGTATGACACGAAAGAGTTTCTATACATTACTATGGAGTACCTCCCACTTGGGGATTTGTCGCGGTATTTGAAAGACCCCCTACCAGAAGCACAGGCAGCCAGCATAAGTCTTCAGGTCCTGGAGGGACTCAAATTCATGCACCAGAACAACTTTGCTCATCGTGATCTCAAGCCAAATGTAAGTCGCCCACTATTCAAGTTGGGAAATACAAATCATCTGATTCAGGCCCTAGAATCTTCTTGTGCAGCACGCCGGTCCGTCCTGGTGGGTCAAGATATCTGATTTTGGCACGAGTAAAGAAATAGGCATGGCCACTCTGTGCTCCAACGTTGGAACAGTTGCGTACCAAGCACCGGAAGTCCGTGGGATTGTGAAATTGGATGATGCAGCGGGAAGCAACCCACTGCTATCTCCGTCTATCGACATTTGGGCTGTTGGTGCGATTGCTTTCCGTCTCACGTCTGGGCGGGTGCCTTTCGAGGACCTCTTGAGCCTATGCAGATACGTAGGCCAGGGCGACCCATTACTATTCGGAGATGGCATCGGCGAGAAGTCCAACTCGTTCGTCGCAAGGCTTATGGCCCCTATGCCACATGATCGGCCCTCTGCCTCAGAAGCCCTCGCTGATCCATGGCTGAACGTCACAGCATCGGATTTGGATGTAACACGCATAGTTAATCCAATGACAGCACTGGTCAGAGAGCCAAATTCAGCCCCGGGCCTAACAGAGGATGCCTCAGCAGAGTGGCCACCTATTGAACCGGGTACTGGACCGCATCTTTATTTAGCGAATTGCCCCATGGATGTCTCCCACGATGCCGACTTTGCCCAGCCCATTCAACAAGATGGGCCTACTTCACCAAGCTCAGATAGCCAAAGAGTGTCCGGTGCAGAGACAGGCGACAACGGTCCGCGCCAAACGGATGACAGGAACAGTGATGCTTCGGAACATGAGATACTGCCCCGCCATACATCCAAGCCTTTAGCTTTGCCCAAAAGGCGCCAAAGTCCCCCCAGGGCCGAATATCCTGAGAGCGGCAGGCGCAATAGCTGGGAATTTGAGCTTCCGAGTGGCACAGGAGTAAAGAGGTTGTCGTTCGAAAGGCGGTGCTGCAGGATGGAAGCACTTGAGTATTCTGACGATGGAAGAACAATCTTCCTAATCACAAATCACTCCATCCATACCTATCATTCGGTAGGAGAAGGGCAGTGGGATCAGGGCACAATCATTGACATACGAAGAAGGGGCCGAAATTGGAAAATATGGGAAGGGATCAAGCCTATTGACATCCCCAACAAAGGCATTCACAGTTTCGTGATAGCTGGTCGCAACCCCGTACTTTTTGTCCGCGATATTGAAGGAACGAACTTTGTGAATACTTACACCAGCGATGATCAAGGTGTCTCTTATCGGCCTTCCACGTTCACGATCCCCTTAGAGGAAAGAATCACGGCCTCGGCGATTTCTGGAAATGGAAAACTACTCATAATTTGCTATTCCCATGAGTTTCAGCTTTGGAATTTGGCCTCTAAGTCTCTGCAGCAGAAAGTCCGGGGTGAAGATGGAACTTTGGCCTTCGTCTTTTCCACTGATGGCTCGCGATTTGCCCAGATAAAATGGAGGGCCGTCGTCGGTCATTCCTCATATATATGGGAGTTCGATGAGATTACGGATAAGTTCGTAAGCCGCTGCAGCTATAAAGGAATGGTGCAGAAGATGTTGGATGACGGGGGGTTCTTCCTGTCCAATAATGGGTGTCTGTTTCTTCGGCGTGGGTTAAAAGAGACTAATCTGTTGGAATTCCCAACGCTATACACCAATGACTGGTATTGTTTCTCACGCGATGCCCAGAGACTAGCCATAGCTCATTGGGACAAGGAAGAAAAAAATGAGTGTGTTACTGTTTGGCACAGGGACGGGGATCGTTTTTCAAGAAGCCAAAGGCTCATTGAAGGCGGTTTCCAATATTTTCGTCGCCCCACCTTCTCTCCTTCTGGTCAACAACTTTTAATCGCCAAAGGAGAATCCATGGAGAAGGTGTTCATTTGGGACTTGTAACGAAGAAAGCGGGATTCCGAAATATCTCACAGAGTCGGAAAGCTTTGGTTTTCGAAATATAGAATATAAAAGATTATTTTAGGCACTTTTCTCGTGGTGTTTGCCGTGAATTGAAGACTACACGTACAAACGCCATGTAGGACTGGTGCCTACCGTTCGACCCAAGAGCTTGAGGTGCTGCACGTGAGCACGGACCAGGCTGGAGGGGCAGCAAAATTTCCCCGCCATCAATTGACCACCCACCACATCGAGTCATCCCATTTTTTCGTGTTGTGTTTTCTCTCACAGTCATCACCATTCGAGTGCCAGCTCTCCTGCATCCAGAGGAGACAGACTCGAACCAGCACACCGCAAAGCTGCTCCCCCTCCGAACCCTCATCCCCAGGCGTCTGAGCGCCGCTCCCCTCGCACGACCCCTCGCACGACCCCTCGCCCACCGATTCATCGCCACCATGGCCGCTATTTCCTCCCAGACCTACACCCCCACCGAGGAGGCCGAGATCCAGCAGTGGCTCACCACCTCGGAGCGCCTCAAGGCCGGCGACGACAAGTCCTCCATCATCGAGACCCTCAACAGCCACCTCTCCAGCCGAACCACCCTCCTCGGCGTCAAGCCCAGCAAGGCCGACGTCGCCATCTACGAGACCCTCTCCCCTGTTGTCGCCCAATGGTCCCCCGACGAGCGATCCGGCGAGAAGGGATACCCCCACATTGTCCGCCTCATCGACTTTGTCCAGAACTCGCCCATCTTCGGCCTCGCCGTCAAGGACGAGAGCAAGATCAAGGTTGACGCCGACGACGTCCGCTTCGTGAAGAAGCCCGTTGATGCCAAGGCTGAGAAGGAGCGTCTCAAGAAGGAGAAGGCCGCCGCCGCCGCTGCTGCCACCGCTGGTGGTGACGCCTCCCTCGTCGACCGCACCAAGGAGAAGGTCAAGGAGGTCGTCGCCGAGGCCAAGGAGGCCGTCGCCGGCCAGGCCAAGCCCAAGAAGGAGAAGAAGGAGAAGGCCCCAAAACAGCCCAAGGCCGCCCCCGCCGCCGCGCCCCTCTCGCCCGCCCTCATCGACCTCCGCGTCGGCCACATCCTCAAGGCCATCCAGCACCCGGACGCCGACTCCCTCTACGTCTCCACCATCGCCATGGGCGACCCCGCCGGCGAGGACACAACCGAGTACGAGGGCCAGGTCTGCCGCACCGTCTGCTCCGGCCTCAACGGCCTCATCCCCCTCGAGGAGATGCAGGGCCGCAAGGTCGTCGTCGTCTGCAACCTCAAGCCCGTCAAGATGCGCGGCATCAAGTCCTCCGCCATGGTCCTCGCCGCCTCCCCCAAGCTCAAGGAGGGCGAGGTCGACGACCACAAGGGCCCCGTCGAGCTCGTCTCCCCGCCCGAAGGCGCCAAGGCGGGAGAGAGGGTCTTCTTCGAGGGCTGGGACGGCAAGTCCGAGGGCATCCTCAACCCCAAGAAGAAGATCTGGGAGACCTTCCAGCCCGGCTTCACCACCACCGACACCCTCGAGGTCGCGTTCGACGCCAAGGCTGTCGAGCAGCTTGGCAAGTCCGATGTGGGCAAGTTGGTGACCGAGAGCGGCGGTGTCTGCACCGTCAAGAGTCTGAAGGGCGCTACTGTCCGATAAATGCATTGACCATGGGCGGACTCTAGAGACTAAACATAAAAATTTAAACGAAGACAATGATAAAAATAGAATATTGGGCTTTGAACCACTACAAGCATGATCACGATAAAATGAGTGACTGGCTGATGATTAATTTTTGAATTTTACTTTTTTTAACAGTGACTCCGAGACCATTTCCCAACTGGCTGGCCCTCTGCCGTCTTCCCCAAGTTTTTCTATTCTACACCTGATGAGAGTGATGTAACTCGTCGCTGTGCGTTATGGTACATGAAGTGTGGGTAAAGTACAATACGAACATGTCGTGTGAAACATGAATCGTGCATGTGATAATCATTAAACCAAGCCGTCTTCCCCGTTAGATGTTGTATGTAGTCTTTTCCCATCCGATTTTTATTTTGGAACGCCGGGAAGAAATGAAGAATCGCTCGCGAGCCCCCTGCCCTGTCGAGAAAAAACAAGTTCAAAGAGGTCAAAACGCCTGCAGAATGCATTGCAATGAGGTAAATCATGCGTAGCCGATGTAGAGAGGCTACGCCGGGGTTGGTGGCATGTCGCCATGCAGGGTCGAAATAAGAGTTGATGGTATGTGGTGATAATGTACAGAAGTAGGCGGAGTTTAGGAGAAGAAGTATTGGCTGTCTCGGAGACGCTTGACGTCGAAGTCACCCTGTTGTCGCAGATTAGTATATGCTTGATTGCTTGTTAAAAATGTTGAAACGAACCTTCTTTGGAATGGCTGGGAATGTCATTGGCAGCCATACGGGAACAAAGTGAGGGCCGGTCGCAAAGTGGTTGGTTGATGACTTATCTGCGTCATCGTCGTCTCTAGCCAAGGCCTCATCCTCCTCCTTCTCGCCATCCGTCGATGCATTTGACGGGATGCGGCCCAAGCTGATCTCCTGGACCGCTTGCTTAACACTGAGATCCTCCTCGGTGGCTTTCATATCCTGGTAAACAGTTGATGGCGTCACAATCTTCTCCGCTGCCTCCAAATCCCAGGGATTGCCAGACAGTCGAAGAGTATTGCGCTTGTGTTCCAAAAGAAGCTCCTCGACACTGGAGAGCTTGCTCGAACTTCGAAGATCCATGATCTTCTTCGCTACAGGAGACTTGGGGTCAAGGCGAACGAGATACAGGGAACCGTTGTGCCGCGCCTTAGCCTCGGCTGCCAGGCGTCCAATAACATCATCTTCGTGGATTTGAACGAACGCTTCTCTGAGAGTTGAGTTCATCGTATCGACATCAGCGGCGTGGGTCCAGAAGGAATCGTGCACAGCAGCAAAGGTCAGGCCCTGCTCATCGCACTTCAACGCCGACAGAAGCATGTGGCTCGCGTCGAGCGAGTGGATAAAGTTTGGTGGAAATCCTTGGAGCTGTTTCCTGCGGTTGACAGGGTCGGTTTGGTGGGTTCTTGAGTATGTGATGGCCTGGAGACTGGTTTTGACCTCTTTTACCGTCGACTTTCTATATGGCTGCACAACAGGAAACCGTAGAGGTGTTGTCCAGACGACTGTTGATCGAAAGTTGCTCTCAAGCTCAGCCAATTGTTTTTTGGCCTGCCCCTTCGTTTCGGCTCCGTTCGATGGCTTGCCCGCGCCGTAAGCATGGGCAATCTGGTCAAGTTGTGAACTAGTGAGAGCTTGGCAGACTCGGCCGCCAACTTCGCCTAGCCAGTACTGGATATCGTGAGCACCGCGGAACATGGTTGCGAGAGCGTTGAAGACGTGTCGAGCGACATAGGTGGCGAGAGTCAGGTGTTGAATGCCGCACTCCTCGCCCAAGTTCGGGTAGAGCGCGTCGATTTGCTTGCAGATTTGCTTCTTTGCTCCGGAAAATGTGACACCGTAGACGTTGGTCATGACTGTTTGCTTCACAACCTTGCGGGTAATTTTCCCATCAAGCGCTTTGGCGTGCGGATCTCCGTTTGCGAGATCCTCCGCAAGCGCTTGCTTAACTAAATCGGCAACGGCTGAGTACACATCTGCGGGTTTATCGCCAGGCTCCAAATTGACTTGTTGAGCGCCCCAAGTATCACCACCGAGGGCAGCATAATGTTGAAGTCCATTGCATGTACCATCCTGTTGGACTGGGAGATGTGACACATACTCGGTAGGATCAGGTAATTCATAGGCAGCACTCAGCTCGAAGCACGCGGCAAGGCATTGCCAAGGGTCTCCAGCTTCTAGCCACCATCGGCTCCCATTGAGGGGATTCTTCGCCGAGTCGTTTATGTTCTCCATGTTCTCCATGGCGAAGGCTTCGCGATCATCGAAACTAGCCTTGTCAAGTCCATACACGTTTGCGAGATGAATCTTAAGCCACCTGAGGCCACGCTTGCCCAGCGTCTTACCCTTGGAGAATCGCAAAATACCACGAGTATGATCAGCACCCATGTGGTTCAGGTAAGCCGGGATTGGATATGCTCGGCCTCGATAATCGACATTGTGGGGGAAGTAGAGTGGCTGGTTTCGGAAAGTGCGGGCAATTTCAAGCTGAAGATTCATGAAACAACGCTGAGAATGGAGACCAGAAATCTCGTTCTGGGCTGCTTTCACTGAACGAGCCCAGTTCCGGTGAATTGAAGGATCTTCGCATTGTTCTGGCTCTGGAGGTATTGATACGTTGGGTTCGAGGGGTGGGAAGTTAGCGATTTCCTTGCCTGAATTCCATGCCTCCATCATGACATTAAGGACTGGTTGGTTGATGCGCCAGGCTGTCTTCCCCAGAACATCAATTCCCTTGCAAAGTTGGTTGAGGTCCCCTGATTTAATAGCTGCGTTGGTGTACATCTTCTGTTCGACATCACCAGGCTTCACGCGTACCAGATTGACCTTGCTGTGAAGGTAGCCTCCCTCGTCAAACCGTCGCCATGGCTTGGGCTCAACAACCATCGGCAAATGCTTGGCCAAGAAATCGCCCACTGGTTCATTCTTCATCCACTGGATGAGTTCGGGGTTCATCAAGAGGCTACCAATCTTCTTGCCTTTTCTGATCATCTGAGTGTGTGTGAAAGCCGGTTGATATTGTGAGATGGTTCCTTCTGTTGGGTGATTAATTGTAACCTTGATCTTGGCGGAATCAAGGAAAGCTTTGAGGAGGACAGCTCCGACGTGGGTCGTCACGGATGGGGACCATGGCTGGTGAATCGCATCTTTAAGGCGGCTGTGAGACTCCGGGTGCTCTTCGACCAATGGCTGAAGGTCATGGGATGGTGCCTCGGACGTCGAAGCTGCGGCAGCTTTGGCCGCTTTCTTCCACTCCACTTGGCGCTTCCTCTGAGCCTTCTCCTTCTGCTCTTTCTGGGCATGTTTGATATCTTCCTGGGCCGCCCTGCCAATGTGCCTAGTCAGTGCGTACACTGGAAGGCCCGTATCAGCACCGGCTAACAGCGAAGCGTTGAGAACTGAAATAATTGTGACGGCTGCAAGCCTCTCCAGCTTTGCTTGGTGTATCAAGGGACCGTAGATACACCTAGCCAAGTCCGTCTGCGACTTAGTTTCTCGGGTTTCTGAAACTTCCACCAGGGCCAGCTCCTGGACCAAGCTTTGCTCAATTGCCTCCAACCATGAGCCGAGATGGTCTTTCAACGAAGGTCCGTCAACTCTGCCGGCTGTCAATGCGGTGCTGATGCCAATCTTGGAGAGATTGGCGTTGTCATGGCGCCACTTTGAGATGGCGGAAGTGATGGCGTCTCGTTCCAATTGGACTTGGATTTCGCGTTGATCGGACGGCGGCAGTGTAGAAATATCGGTGTCTTCCCAAGCTTCGAGCAGGGACATGCCCGATTTCAGCGTATTCAACCCTTCTCCACGTTGTGGGGTGGGTTGGACTTGAGGATAGGATGGCATTTCGTTTGACCCCTGAGTGCTTTCCAGAACAACTGTTGCACTCGCCTCGCTCGAATCTTCGATCGTTTCCTCAAAACTTTCGGGGTCCGCGGTAAGATTGTAGGTGGGGCAAATGTCCGTGATAACCGCAAGGTCCTGATCGGTCAGGATATCTCCCATTCTCAAGACCTTCAAGCCGGCCTCACCAGGGGCCATGTCCATATACCGCTTCACAAGACGCCTAAGCCTTGGCCCACGAGATGAAAGAAGTGATGCCTTCAAGATGCAAGCAATCGTCTCGGCGGTGTGAGGGAAGGTCGATCGAATTTGTGTCTCGTACCATTTGCGGATCTCTTCGGCCAGGTTTTGGCTGGGGTTGGCTCGGATATTCTCAAGCGCGGCTCTTAAATATTGATTATTGAGGATGATGTGCTCTTCCGGTGACAGCGAGGAGTGTGCGTTGAGTCGCTTCAGCACCACAACAGCTCTCTCGAGCTTACCAACCCGCAGACAGGCGTCGAAGACAGGTAGAAGATCCTGGATCTCGCTGGGGGCGCCGTGTTTGTTCATCTTGCCCATGATTTGGGGACCAAGGGCAGGTTCTGGCAGTATTAAGGGATTGCTCGGGTCGATCCTATTCAACATGTAGGGTTGGAAGTGATCCGACTGGAAAGGAATCTGCGGACTCGGGATTTGACCGAAAGAAAGGCTATCGACGAATGGGTCGCTCACTGCCGTGGCGAGGCTTCGCTCGCCTCCTGGAAGGTGTGTGGCATCTGAGAGGCGCCTGCGCCTAGGTCGAGCATCGCTTGTGACAACATATCTCCTGCCGAGTATCGGGGTCAGGGAGAACGGAGGCGGGAGTTTAGATGCAGGCTGTATCAGTCGAGAGAGACAATTCCGTGAATTGAGCGCCAGGCTTTGGCGGGCTTGTCGCAGAAGCATTGTGTCGGTCGGCTAGTCGTCCAGTTCGACCACGCGACAGCGGCGTGAAGGACGTTCGGAGGGGGGAGGTCGTGAGGAAGGGAAGAATCCCAACAGTCAATAGCAGCTGCTGGGCGGGCGACACTAGCAAAAACCATTCATCAAAGCAACGGGCGTTCTAAAGGAAAGAAAAAAATGGATAATCCAACAGGAAAATATTGAGTGTAGACCTCGAGAGATCTCGGCCACTAAGCAGAAGATGAGCTCCGATTTTTTTTTTCCTCAACGGCCTGTAAATTCTGGCTGTTGATTGGCTGACGGTAGCGGGAAAAGTTTCTCCCGCACTTCGCTTGATGCCGAAGTGGGGGAAGGCACGTGTGTATTTGCAGATGCAGCTTCGCGCCTAGATTTTATTCAATCCATTTATTACGTTCGACATTAGACCAACATGAGGCATTGTCCATGTAGATGTCTTCAATGATGAGTGTCCGTCCTGCTTTGACAGCAATCGGCTGTCGTGGCTGCCGACAGGTCCTACTTCGCACAACGGTACCCTCCTTCTCAGCCAGTTCACCCAGAGCAAACCCACGGATGCATCCAAGCTTTTCGTTTCGACCGAGATGCTACTCCGACCTACCCAAAACTCAATCCGCCTCACAGAACCCCGCCGCCGAGATTGATCCCAGTGAATCAAAGCAAACGGACGAAGTTCTTGAAGAGGAGGAAGAAGCCCCATGGTTCCTCGAAGAAGAGCCTCCGAGGCATGCCCCCAGCTTGCACAAAGCTACCTTACCGAAAGCTCCCGAAGATGGCCCCGCGATAATCGAGCCGATGATCAAATACATATACGAAGACATGGGTCTTGACGATATATCATTGCTGGATCTCCGAGAGCTTGACCCCCCTGCTTCATTAGGTCCCAATCTCATCATGCTATGCGCGACCGCTCGAAGCGAAAGGCACCTGCATATATCCGCTGGGCGGTTTGTGAGATGGCTTCGACGAAATCATGACGTTGATGCGAGTGCCGATGGACTCATAGGCCCAGGGGAATTAAAAACGAAGCTCCGGCGGCTAAGGAAGAAGGCGAAGCTCATGGGTTCAAACAGTGCGATACTGCCCGGTGGCGATCATGGCATTTCTACGGGATGGGTGTGTGTTAATTTCTCCTTGCATGGACAGGGCCATGCCGAAGCCGCGGTTTTTGATGACTCTGGGAAGTTTTCTGGATTTGGCTCTGCGCAAACAGGAACTACCGTGGTAATCCAATGCATGACTGAGCCCCGGCGTGAAGAACTTGACCTTGAATTGCTATGGAGGGGGGTGCTCAAACGAAACCTTCAGCAGCAAACAAAGGTCCGCGGGGAAAGCGGCGTGGATGCCTCAAACTTGGATAAGATGCTGGCCTCAAGATTACAGCTACACACAAGTCCGTCGAAGATGCAATGGGAAGCTCTTCAGCAAGCTTCTGAGCAGCAAAGGCGTATGTCTACTGCAAGGACACCCTCTCGGTGGGATAAGCAAGCCAAGGGAGCTCCTCTCGAATATAGCGGCTCCCTTGTCGCAAACACGTATTCCAGAGCCAAGGATGCAAGCGCAAAGCAGCTAGAGCTGCGGCACATGCTGGAATCAATCCTATATGGTGGAGATGCTCTCGACCACCGTCGCCTCCAAGAGCTCATTCTAACCATTCTCGGAGCTCCGTTGTCATCTAGTCTCTCGGCCGCCGACCGTCTCGCCTGGGTCGACAGCCTGTTACGCACTACTGAGGAGAGGGGCCTTGAGATTGAATCCACAAATATGCTCGTTCTTCTGATAGAAGCTGTGGTTCGATCTCCAGCATACGGGCCCGAACTCACAAAGGCTCAACAAGGCCTTGAGATCCTGCTTCGAGAATCCCACGAGCCCCCGACGGAAGAGCATACTCTCGCGCTCATGAACGCATACGCATTCTGCGAGGATTGGGATCGAGTGTGGGACGCCTTCCGCGTTCCGCCCAGGTTCAACCGTGCGAGGTCTCCTCGACTATATGAGCTTGCATATCGACTCATCGCGTCCACATCCCAGCCTCGGCTTTGCAGAGACGCTCTCCGATGGATTTACCCCGAGATGCTCCTCGAAAAACCGGCCGTCAGCCCCGTTGGGGAGCTCTACAGATGGCTGAAAATGGCCATTTTAGTCGCTGACCCTCTTGCGCTGACGCAGCTCAAAGACATCAGCAGGTTAGACATGATGGATGAGGATAATGACACCGAAGAAATGTCGAAAGTGCCCGAATTCGCTCGTATTCTCGCAGAGGTAGAACATATCCGGTCACAGCTTCAGCCTCAGGACCGGTAGCTGCTGACCTCCGTTACGAACCAAATATCATTTGTACAATAACCATATCAGCATTGGGGGCATGTAATATAGCTGCATTCATGAATGATTCTATCGGCCCCACTTCCCCGCCCCCCCGCCCAGACCCTTTGACATGGCGAAGCGCAAATGCGAACTTTGAGACCGCGGTCCTACATCCTGCACTTCATAGCCTCTCTCAACAGCGGCGAAACCTGCTTCCTACTAGCAGCCAGGTTCTTCTGTCTCCAAGTCATCCTCTGTCCGGCCTTGTCGTGCTTTCCATTCTCGTAGGTTTCGAGTTCCAAAGAACCCGATATCTTTGCAAACTTCTGCATCGCGGCAATCGCCTCGTTATTGCGAGCCCATACAAGGAGATGGCGCTGGAACTGCCCGCCGGGATGCGATGTCGTCATCACAGAGATGATGTCGAGCTCCCTCTCCTCGGCCCAGTCGTCAAGCTTGTCGTAAAACTCATGCGCGTTGCCCTTGGTCTTGTGGAGCAGGTAGTCGAAGTTCTGTACCGCGCAGCTGATGCCAAGTTTCAGCCCGCCATCCGTCCACTCCTTGTAATCCTTGCGAAAGATGTCGCGGAAGCTGAGCTCAGAAATATCCTCCTTGACCGCCTCGATGCCCTTGTAGTAGGCCTTGAGGTCGAACTTCTCATCCTTCATCTTCCCCTGCAGGAACTCGGCCGCACTGCGATCCTTGGGCTTCGTCTTGTCCTCGGCGGTGAGGTTGATGGTGTCGATAAGGACGGGGGCGAGCGCCAGCCGGGCCAGCTTCTCGTCCTCGCTGTGGTGCGACCCCGCGGCGACCGCCTCCCAGAGCTTCCTGCTCTCCTCGACGACGAGGCTCATGCAGCTGCCGCACGGCTCGATGATGCGGGGCGACCTGTCCCCGGGGATCGTGCCCTCGTCGACGTGGTGGTCGATGCAGCCGATGACCTGCGACTCGAACTTGCGCAGCGGGCCGGTCAGGCTGTTGTGGTCGATGAGGAGCCAGCGGGTGTCCTCTGGCCTGAGGTCGGGGAGCTCGGAGAGGGTGAGGAGGTCCGAGGGGAGGAGGTCCGCGTTCTTGAGGACGGCCGTCATCTCGGTTCGCAGCGCCAGGTCGGCGCGGGGCAGGTTGGAGAGCGGGATGTGGAGAGACTGCTGCTTGCCGTTTGTGCGGAGGTAGGCGTAGACGACGGCGGAGCAGAGGGAATCCAGATCTAGCAGAAAATGTTAGGGCGATTGTTTCTACCGGAGATGCTTGCCGCAACTTACCTGCCGACTCATTGCCGACCACAAAGGTGAGCGGGAGGGTTCGTTCGGCTGGAGGAGCTGCCAAGGCCGCCCTCGCCGCGGCCAAAAAAGCTCTCAATGTCATATTCATCTTGATCGGGAGGAAGCGCTGAGCAGAATCGCATGGACGAGCCAACAGCCCAGGGACAATTGGCGGCCCTGCCCGTATAAATAGGCGGGGACGGGACCCAGGTGTTTGCCGGCAACTCGGTCGCTACAGCGCAAAGAGTGGGTAAGGGTGGTCAGCTCCCCCGTCCCGGAACACGTCACTGGTAATATGATATGTGAGTAGACAGGTGGTAGTCTGTGAAGAGTCGCAGCATCCCGGTTGGGACACGCGACCTCTTAGTGCGCTGGATATCCATTGCACGAATTCCGTCATTGGAGGTGACTTTTTTTTTCTTGGTCAGACCAGAAGCGTGTTAGTCCCGCCCAAGTGGCTGATGGTTTGTCCTGCTGTGATTTGGAGCTGGAATCCGAAGAAAGCCCGATTGGAACAAACGCATTCACGATGCTGGTAAGAGGACTGCCTCGCCTTGTTGTCAGGTCCATTGAGACAATTATTGGAGTCGGCCGCATAAATGATCATGTGTGCTTTCTCTGGCGGCCGCCGCCATTGAATACTAAATGCCTTCTCTTTGTTTCTAAGCCAGCATATGCGCATATGATTCAATGCGCCCGATGGCTGCAGGGTAAGTCGCAGAACACGAGACGAACAGGTCAAAGCCAGTAGATGCACGAATAGCCGGTTGCATGACGATGAGCGAATTATCTTCGATTTTCTCGGTTAGGCAGGTCTCATTGGACGCGATGACAGTCAGAGGTTACCCAATGGCTGGTAGGGGTCCAAGAGGAGAGACCAATGATTTCCAGCCAACGAATTGGTAGATTTCGCCTGGCATATGAAAGAAACCCCTTGTGTTTGTCTAGGAAAACCTCAACACCGGTCCTTTTAAATACAGAAGGTTTATGCCAATTCTCGTATTCACTTGCGCATTGCCTCTGGAGTCCTTCCAATTGAGGAAACTCGACTTCATCCGGAAATACGAACCCGCATATGTATGCTCGCAGCGACAGAGTGTGCATGCAGATGCAGATGCAGATGCAGATGCAGGGTAGCTCCAAAGAATCGGTCCCCGACCTGCCGGGGTAAATTCACCCCGGATCACCTCCCCAAAGGCTGAGACAAGTAAGAAAATCGCGGTCGCAATCGCTGAAACGGTGCGCCGCTCCTTTTCCCGGTCGTTGGGAGAATAATCCCGGCAGGCAATCATCCAGAAGTGTTTTAGACTGAAAGCCACACCCAGGGATCGGCGTTTTGCATACATAGCTGACAGAGCACGTGAACCGGGGTCTGATCTCGAGGGATTGTGTCAGATCTCACAAACTCAACTCTGCGCAGCTGATGCCTCCGCATGCTGGGGGAATGCATGCCGAGGGTACCACCAATCAGACATGTGATGCATCTTGCGAATGCAGTGGAACACCGATGGTCAGAGCGAAGGCAGCTGAGCAGGCTTGGAATGAAACCTATATGTCTCTCACTATAGTGTTCTCGAGGTATTGTGCGCAATACCACGCAACACTCGGTATCGCAAATCTGACACGGCAATTGGAGAGCTCGGCGAACGAATCGTTGCGAGTTGGTTGGCACGTGTATCTAGATTTCAATCCTCGAATTAAAATTTGAGTGAGGAGTGGTTTATTTGTTGATGTCATGGACTATGCCACCTAAGAGCACTTGCGCATTCCTACCTTAGGCTTTTATCGGGCCAGTATCAATAAGATGAACGTGCTAAACCATCTCCTCCACTCGATAAGAGAGGTGGTGGAGATCTCCTAGCTGAGTAGTTCAAAAAAATTAGGACAATAGGACTTATTAATCTCGCCGTATATGTAACCAGGGGAGAATTGTTTCTGATTTGAGACAATCTACACGGCTGCACTATAGCTTGAGATCACAACGCGCCGTTAACAGATATTCCACCTTGATGCCTCGGCATGATGGGAGAACGGTATTCGGTTCAATCGGCCTTCGCCCACGATGTCGCCGAAAACATTTGAACTTTGAAGCCGGATGAGTATCTGAATCGAATTGGTTCTATCAAGTTTCTTGGAATGTTTGGAGATCTACGCGAACTAACGCCGGAACAAAGGGTTTAGCTTTTAGTAGGGTTGGACTTAGTGTGTTACATGAATAAGAATTATTGGATATTGGATGCTCAAACAAAGACGTGCTAACTGAGAGAAGCAAGATACACCTTGCGTGCAAATATTCTCCGCAACTAGTCCATTTCTCCCTCTCGGATCTCGGCGCCGAAGATCAAGCTACTAAGGTCAGCTTCTCTAACATTGAACAGGTGACTTGATGGTCCCACCAGCTGCCTACCCAAGACAGCATAGAACATTTGAGTGCAGCATGTTTTATGTTCACAGTGTAATTTGCAGAGACTATTGTTATGATGGAAATGTCTTGGCGTCGCTGGGCGTGGACTGTCCGCTTCCGTTCTGATACGACTTTGACGAGATGTAAGCGTCTCCCGTTTCGGCTTGTCCTGTTGTTGTAAATGAATGAACGGTTTCAGATATTTGAACTCATGTTTCAGGAGAATAATACTGGGAAATCCTCGCCATCCCAATTAACGGCCCGGGGCGGGACATGGTGACCGGGAGCACATGTAAGACACTCGCACACTGTTGTTGGTCACTCGGCCATTTCTTACTCCCCGTCTACAAGTAAACCGTAAGTCCAACAGGAACGAAAAAGGAAGAGACGAAGATATCATCGCATGCCGTCTCCAGCCAACCGACACGTCGAGTTGCTTTTAGTCTTGACGCCGTCCATGCGCCACAATTGGCTGGAATGAACTGGAATGATGGAGAGTTCGACCAGTCTGTGCTCTTGACCTCTGGCATTCCTCCTGTTTCCGATTGCGACCTTCGGAGTTTTTTTTCTAAATCAAAGTCGGCGGCTAAAGAGGGAGATCTTCGATTAGCCTCGATTCAGCCTCGCAGCCCCGAGAGCCGAGATCGTTTCAACCTCCAGGTCGATATGGCATACCGGATGCAGGCCAAAGTACGTCCATGCAGGATATTTAAGTAGAATCATCGTTGCCCTCTCCCTAATGCTCCGTCATTTCTCTCCTGCTGAGTCTGTAACAAATTTCTTTGGGTCGCTGCAATATTCAAAATGTCTAATCGTGGGACCACCATAACTGAGGCCAACCTCTCCAACATGCCGGTTGGGGTAGTCAACCTGTATAAGTTGCGAGAGAAGGTGAAGAAATTTCCTCTCATCCTCGTGACGGGAGGAGCCGGCTACATTGGCTCTCACACCGTCCTGGAAATTCTCAAAACAGGATGCGGAGTCGTCGTCATTGACAACCTTGTCAACAGCCATATGGAGTCTTTGCTCCGTGTCTACCACATCTATAAGCATGAGAAGATCAGACTTGGCAAGGACACCAGCAACCTTGCCCCTCTCCTCTTCTGCAATGTCGACCTTCGAAACCGCTCTCGCGTTCTCAATGCCTTCCAACTGTGGCAGTCTCCCAACCCTGACCTTCAAGTCCTCTCCATGAAGCTTGATGTCGTCGACATTGCTTCCAAGGTTGATGGCGCGTCATACAAGACTCGGGATTATCCGATAAACACAAACGGACAACCGGCTGACCTACCGGAAGTGGTGCCCGATTTGCCTCGGGGTAAAATCATTGCCGTTGTTCACTTCGCTGCCTTGAAGGCCGTGGGAGACTCAATGAGCCAGCCACTCCAGTACTACCAGAACAACATCACCGGATTGTTGAACCTCCTTGATGCCATGTCCATGACTCAGGTCACCCGCATGGTCTTCTCTAGCAGTGCCGTCGTCTACGGATCTGGAAAGGAGGCAAACATCGCAGAGGACTCCGTCCAGGTCGGCGGTAAGGGCGTCGGCTCAGGACTCGTCACCAACCCTTACGGTCGGACCAAGTGGATGGCAGAGGAAGTCCTGAATGACTGCTGCATCGCCAACCCAGAATTTGAAGTAGTCTCGCTCAGATACTTCAACCCCACAGGCTCTCACGCCAGCGGGCTGATCGGAGAGGAGCCAAAGGGCACACCAAACAACATCGTCCCTGTCATTCTTCAGGCCTACCAAAGACGACGAAGCAGGGTGTATGTCTACGGCTCAGACTACGACACCAACGACGGCACCGGAGTCCGCGACTACATCCACGTCGGCGATCTTGCTAGCGGCCATTTGGCAGCTCTCCGATCCATGTACGTCAACAAGCAGGCCCAGAACGGTCGAAGGGCGTCAATGGCGTCCGCGGCCAGCCAGGAGACACCAACTAGCCCCAACAACTACAGGGTGTACAACCTGGGCACCGGCCAGGGCTATAGTGTCCTCGACATCATCAAGGCCTTCGCCAACGCGGCTGATTGCGATATCCCCTTCGCCATCTCCGACGCGAGGCCGGGAGACCTCGGCACCGTCACGGCCAGCACCGACAAGGCGGCCAGCGAGCTCGGGTGGGCGGCCGAGTTCGGCATCCAGGACATGTGCAGAGACGTGTACACGTTCGCCATGGAGAATCCGCAGGGGTACGAGCGCCTGCGCAGGCTCTCTACCCTCGCCATGCAGGATCCCACCGCGCTGCGCAGGGCCAGCGTCGAGGCTGGGCTGTGGCAGGCGCAGAACCAGGCGGCCAAGTCGCGCCAGGCTTCGGATAGCAGCAGCGATCTGCCGGAGATCATTGAGGAGTTCACGCATCTGTCGACCAACCCCGAGGCTTTTGGTAAGATGATCCGCAAGATGAGTGTCATGACCACTGAGGATCTTTGCCCATTGGACCCATTGGCTGTCTAGATTGAGAAAACGAGGACAGTGAAGATATCATCACCTCTGGTAGGGGAGAGCTATATCGGCTCCAAAAGCATAATGGGAGAATATTATTTAGAAGAATTAATTTAGCTGATCAATACCAAACTGCAATGCAATCAATCAACTACGTCAATTGAAAGCCTGTCGTGGTCGCATTCGGATTCGTATCCGCACGTACGCTCTGTATCATTCTCGGGTCAGTGGGATGCTATCAACGAGTACGAGATCAGACAAAATTATTGTCAAGTGGGCATGAAACCTGGCCATTTCAAAACCCCGTCAGAAAAATGTATCGAGAGAGTCTTGCAACCAGTTTATCCCTATTGAATGGCTGTTACCCCTGGCAGACGCATGACCTCATATCCGAAACGAACCCGAGCGCCCGCCTACGCCTCTTCCCCAGTCCCGCCTCGGATAGCAATCAGACTTGCCTCGTTATCGCCTTCATCCCTCCCAACACCATCGTCAAATCAGAGGAACCATGTCTCCCGCCAGACATAAGCGGCTTGGCCACAAGAAATCCAGGAACGGATGTTTGCGCTGCAAGGCACGGCGGGTCAAGGTGAGCCGCCCCCAATCCGATTTGTCCCCGCGACGCGATCAATTAACAGATTGCATGTGAAATCGCCCCTGTTCCTCCGCTGACGCCCGTGATAGTGCGATGAGAAACGCCCGTGTGGGCACTGCATCCGACACGGGGTTGAGTGCAGTCTCGTCTCCTCTGAACCGCCGCCGCCGCAACAGGCCCAGACGCCCGTCTCCGTCAGTGCAAGCCCTCTTGCCGTTGAGGCGCCGAGCCTCGTTCTCACAGACGTGACGGCGGCTGAAGCTGCGACGCCTCAGCAGGGGGACAATGTGACAGGTGGGGATCCATCAAATACGGGATAGGCTTGTACGTATCGCTGACCATGTCTCTTTTCCCTAGGACACATCGATAGTGTGTGGCCGAGTCTTCAAGGCCAAGAGCATGGAAATCAAATACCCGCGCAGTGGATGCAGAGCCTCCTTCTCATGCAGCATTATTGCAATCACACATACAAAACTCTCGCCCGCTCAGCTACCGAGAAACTCTGGAAAGAAGAGGTTCCCAAGACTGCTTGCCAGCATGTAAGTTGCAGGAAAAGCAAGATCTGTCGGCCGTGAGAGATCGATAGAGCCGAGGTCAAGACAAGACATGTTGACTGACAATTATCAAGGAGTTCTTAATGCACGGGCTTCTAGCCGTGTCGGCTCTTCATTACGCACATATGTATCCCCAACAACACACCGAGTATATTGTCGTCTCAACACACTACCAGAGCCTCGCCCTGCGCTACTTTGCAGACCGCCTAAGCGACATCGACGAGGAGAACTGCGAGGCGTATTTCTACCTCGCCTCATTCATCTTCACGCTCAGTCTCTGTCACATTACCCATCCTCCTCACCCCGTGAAACCGCTCACGCCAGACCATGTTTGCCAGGCCTTCATGCTTCTGCAGGGAGTCAAGGGAATACTCGACTACAAGCCTCTCGGGGAATGGCGACAGCGCGGTCCTCTCGCCTCGTTGCTCCAGTCATACGATAACATCTCGAGCCAGCCTCCCAGCGCGAGCGCCTTCACCCGCCGTTTGGACAAGATCTCGACCATAGCAAGAGAGCTACCCCGGTCAATGGAGGTAATCAACGAGCAGTCGTCATGCATCCTGGCGCTGGAATCGTTGAGAACAACCTACCAGGTGTGCGCCTTCTCATCGGTGGATGCGCAGTCTGCTATCTGGTCGTGGCCCATCACGTTGCCGTTGATCTTCATCGAGATGCTTGGACAGGGGAATCATATTGCTCTTATTATACTTGCGCACTTTGCCGCGTATGGGCGACCTTTTGAGCACCGCGACTGGGTGAGCCAGGGATGGAGCAGATGTGTGATCGACATGGTCGAGCGGGAACTGGATCAGTGCTGGCATGAGTGGATTCAGTGGCCGAAGAAGAGCATTGATGAGGATATCAATGTCGAGGATATGACATTTGATGAGCCATGATATTTAGGGACTGTCTATTTCACATTTCTGAATAAGTTATGAAACAAAGTCATATTTCTTCTTGCATCGCAACATCACAAACCCATTCAGTTTAGGAAGCCTCTTCTAAGCAGTCCACGCCCAGAAATTACAATGAGTCCCAGAGTGTCATCTTCACAGTGTCCAGATCCAAGACGGCCTGGACCTCGTCGTCAATGCTGTCCAAGTACATCTTCTCATCCCACTTCGGCTGCCATCCAAGTTTAGGCCCATTGACGGCGACAAGATCTCCACTAGGAAAGAATCATATCAGTGTAATCCAAGCCTAAACCCCTGGAAGGAGACTTACCTGGAGGTGCCAATTGCCTTGATAAAGACCATCGGGAACCCTGTATGCTCAGCCGCCATTTCCCAGCTGGGCCAGACCTTGGCGGTCGGTTCGGAGACGAGACCTCGGGCGTGCATGCTCTGGGCAAGACGCTCCATGACTTCCCACCAAGGAGACCTGTGGGCCACTGCGAAGTAGTAGCCCTTGTCGTTGCTTGGGATCGCCTCCTTCAGCAGAATCTTCTCGAGGATGGCGCCGTAGAGGGCCGTCAGGTCGGAAATATGGATCGCCGGGGGGTTCTGCAGCCGGGTTAGTATTTGAATGAATATTTTATTATTGAATCTGCGAGGGAAACCTACGCCATCCTTCTCAAACTTGTAGACGGTCTTGAGCTTCATGCTGGCTCTGGTGACTGCAGGGATGTTCACGGACAGCTTCCTCCATTCTCCGGTGCCTCTTCCGTCTATGTTTCAGTGGGAGGTTAGCTGCTAAACCCCGACAAAGAACTATAGCTGGGATTCAAACTCACAGACTGTAGGGACGGGGACGTTGTAAGTTGTCACGCCCTGTGCCCTTCCTAGTCCCGCTACAATTACGTTGGTCTTGGGCCGATGTTAACAAATAGCCACCTGCGAGATTTGTCGAGCATTGATGTTTGGCTCACCTTGCGCACGGGGTTTGATTCTCCAATTTCCTTTTGCTTCTCAACTAGAGAATCATCCGAATCCTTGACTTGGCCGTAAGGCCAGCCTCCTCCCTCTGAAAACATGGTCGCCACCGAAGTCTGTTGTCCTGGTCAGCGGAGCAAGCCAAAGAAAGGGGCCATGGTGGGACGCACATGGATATAGTGTGTCTCGATTCCAGTGACTCGGCGACGTTCACCGAGGGCTTTGATCAAGTTGGTCGCCATCTGGGGGAGAATGGCGCCTGCTGTGTGGATGACGATGTGGACTAAGTAGATGCCGAAAGATTAGCTAGAGTCACAAGCAACGCGTCCGCGAACTAAACATACTCTCATTTTTCACGACAGCCTCGAGAACTGACTTCTCATCTGTGAGATCGACCTGCAGGACGTTGATGCCGAGTTTCGACACACTCTTCACCTGCTCGTCGGATCGAGCCGCGGCGAATATCTTGGCGTTTTTGATGGGACCGTCGGTGCGAGCGAGTAAGTCGGCCAGGAGGGAGCCGCCGCTTATTGAGTCGTGTAAGTCAGACATTTTTCATCAATGGCCAGGGGTTGGGCAAACTCACATGAAGCCACTGGTGCCAGTGATGAGGACGTTTGAAGCTGAAGTCATTATGCTGGAGATAGTTGGAAAACGTGAAGATGTTGGTATTTGGGTTTCTTGTTTGAGGTGACATCATGTTTAGAGATACGCAACAATGGTAGTTATAGGACTTCTCAATGTCGGGCTCGGTAATTTCGCTCTACACTTGAATCCGATGAAGTTTCCGTATACACACCAATTAACAGACCGCCCAAGAATGTCATGGATACTTGGTCATCGATGGGATTTGTCAAGGCGGGCACGGACTGTAGGGTAGGTCCACAGAGGCTCGGACATGGAATTCCGCGCGTTTCCGTCGCGGAAGTTTGTCATCGTTCCAGGATTATCAGATCTGTAACCTGCTCCACCCTCCCAATTTTGGCAATTTCGAGATCGAATACTGGGTCTTCAAGAATTCTGGAGGCCCGCGGGAATCCGTTGAGCGCGAGGCGTGACGTGATTTGACCATGACCGATTCACCCACGTTTCTCGCCACAAAATCTAGCCTAAGTTGGTGAAAATTTGGCAAATATGATTACTGTGCTCAATTACATGTCTAATTTGCATTCTCATGTGATCCAAGAAGTTTCTAGATCGGAAAATTTGCTGGGGCTTGGAACTTAGGGCCAGTTGTGGCCAAAAATTGCTGTGTGTTAACCATGGGCCGGGCCACGCAGGGCGATTGATTGCAAGCCGAACAGCAAGTCGAAGCCAGAGAGGCCCTCCTACCCCCACCGAAGCGATGTTTGGTAGATTTCTCCTTATGCGAAGATTTACTCAGTCTTGAGAAATTGGGCCTTGAGTTATTGTGCATCACAATCTAAATTCTAGATACCCCATGTGTTGAAACGAATAATTGGAAACGAGAGGCACGTGTAGCACTCGGCTTCTCGCAAAGTAAACTCCATCGAGATATCTGGCCACTTGAGTGAGGACGCATGATAAAAGCTAATGATTGACTTTCGGGAGATGCCAAATGGCCCTTAAAGCCGAGAGCGCCCAAAAGTCTCTTGAGCACTTGGCAGTCCGCTACCCATGAACTCGAACCATGGAAACCGTTATGGGGCGTTGAGAAATTGAGGTCGGGCGCTTCGGATTGACGGACTATGCTGTGGAATTCTGATATTTGCGCCATCCTATATCCATTGACTTAATGGGTGGTAGCTGATATCTTCGTTTGGCGAATAGCATTGCGATTCCTTTGCTGTAGCACGAGCCCGACACTGGAGGCCAGTTTACTGAAGGGTCGTTTAATTGCCATACTCGAGCGATCGGAGGTTGTGGAGGGTAGGAGCCTTATCTCTAACTGGCCTTCGAAATGGTCCAAAATCCTGCCTCTATGTTGGATATAATCCGAGATAGAAAGCGGATGATTTGTTCTTCCGTAGTCTTGATCATTTGAATTCGGTGGATTTTCGGTCATCTCGGCCTTCATCTGCACGGTCTCTGTCAGAAAATATCCATAGGTAGAGATTTCTTGCGGCACATGCCTCATGATGGATAATGAGCGGACTTTTGACCTGATTCAACTCAGACGTGGTCGTTCTCCGAGCCTGGATCGCATGATGAGCCTGCGCAACCAAGACAAATCGCATCTTTTGAAGGTGACGGCATTGGGAATCGGCGGCATATCGTCGCCGGATAGGAGAAAATAGAGTAGGCAATTGGACGAGAAGTCTAGATGATCGTCGGTTAGTTGACTTGCGGTGCACGATGGCGAAGGAGAGGACAGAGAGTAACGTGATACTGACCCTCCCTGATCTTGCATCTCTCTTTATCCTGTCTGGGGAAAGTGTCACCATTGGGGAAGTGCCCGCACGATGGGGGAGGCTTCCTGCGTGAGCGCGTCGTATCGTGTAGCAATCGAGGAGCGCGGGGTCGAGGAACTGAAGGTTAATGGATGCGGTTAGTTCACGATGCGATCGCGGGGCCACTGGCTTAAATCTGAGATCTTCAGGGGTCGTAGCGCCGGCAGTTGGCGGGTGGCATGTGAGACGTTGGGGTTGATCCACTGATCGGCGGGGGGCTTGAACCGCAACGTAAATGGAGCCACACACCACTGAGAGTTTGAGGCCGGCGAGGGGCTGCGATCGCGCTTTGAGTTCTGGCGAATGGTGATTTTAATCTCCAATTCTTGCGAATGGTTTGCAATATTGAGAGTTTCAGGGTGTGTGGGGAGGATGGAGAGATACTCCAGGTAGTAATTTGCTTGACACGCGCCTCCAAGCTTGGTTGTTATTGAACGCGATGGCGGCCAGTGAACAGGACAAGGAAAACTGTCGGCCAACATCACCAAAGAAAATGCATGAAGTGACGAGAGGAAAGGAGCCAAGACATGGGAAAATTAGTTTGATGACTTGTTGTGAACAATGACAGCGAGCAGTCGTCACAAGCCCAAGCGCAATCTCGCAGAATTTTCACGCTATTCAAGACGAGCCTCATGTTGTGATGTTTGCGCGTTTGAAACGTGTTTATTTGCGAAATTGAAATTGAGCCATTTGAGAAACACCAACGTCCATTGATCTGCTCCGATCTACCAATACAGGAGAATGATTCTACTCTAAACATTGTGTCCGATTTGTGCCAAGTTTCCTTCCGATCATTTCGCCTCACCATGTTCCATCTAATTTCCACGACCACCAACCATGAAGCCATCAGTCCATTCCCACCCGCAATGGAAAAAAAAAAAGGCCTGAGCGTTGAAACAATTAGAATTGCAATTGGAGAAGAGAGTGAATGAAGAAAGAACTTACCATAAGGCGATGAGACCGCGCTCACCTCCTCCGACAACTTTGAGTAGCCCGCGCCCGAAAGGTCGGAGCGCGTCCCACCCACCCAGGCTTTATTGATTGCAGCAGCCTTGACTGCGAGGATCTCTTTGATACCACTTGATGCGCCAATATGTTCTGAGGGCGGAAACAAAATCAGCATTGCAATTGAAACAAGAGTAGGAAGAGAAAGAAAGAACTTACCATGGGATGCTTGAGACCGCGCTCACCTCCTCCGCCAACTATAAGTAGCCCACGCCCGAAATGTCGGAGCGCGTCCCACCCACCCAGGCTTTGTCGACTGCAGCAGCCCTGACTGCGTGAGCCCTGTCTGCGTGAGCCCTGTCTGCGTGAGCCCTGTCTGCGTGGATCAATTGTATGGTTGTTGGAGTATAGTTGTTGGAGTATAGTTGTTGGAGTATAGTTGTTGGAGTATAGTTGTTGGAGTTCAGTTGTTGGAGGAGTAACCCGCGCCCGAAAGGTCGGAGCGTGCTCCCACCCACCCAGGCTTTTGTCGATTGCAGCAACCCTGACTGCGAGGATCTCACCCAAGTAGTGCCTCCTCTACCCAAGGATTGATGCCCAGTTCCAAACTTCACCCGGCGAAAGGTATGCTTGTTGTCACGTTCAGCTGCACAAGGCGCCAAGGACCGTCCACACAATCCCCGACAGGGCGCATGCTGCCCGAAGAACTCAAGGCGCGGAGGCCTGTCACTGTTTCCAACGGTCGCACCGAATGTACAATTACCAGCATGCCCTCTCTCACCGATCGGACAACGCAGGGACCTCGCCCTCGTTTCAGAGAAGCCGTACTATGGAGGCCGATGGAGTTAGACGGTTCGAGCTACCGAATCTCTGGCCGAAACACAAGAGCCTTGAGGATGAGGTTTGCTTGGGTGCCCAAGCGACCCGGCTGGCCAACCTTGTGGCGTCATCGCCCAGTCACCGCGGGTGCCGTCGATGTGTGTCGTCGTCCAGAAGTGTGTTTGTTTTCAATGTGTGTCGTCGTCCAGATGTGCGTGTGTTTTCAATGTGTGTCGTCGATGTGTGTCGTCGTCCAGATGTGCGTGAGTTTTCAATGTGTGTCGTCGTCCAGATGTGTGTCGTCGTCCAGATGTGTGTCGTCGTCCAGATGTGTGTCGTCGTCGATGTATGTATGTATGTCGTCGATGTGTGTCGTCGAGTCGATGTATGTGTGAAAGATATTATGTGTCGTCGATATGTGTCGTCGATGTATGTGTCGTCGAGGTTTGTCGTCGAGGTTTGTCGTCGAGGTATGTCGTCGAGGTATGTGTCGTCGAGGTATGTCGTCGAGGTATGTGTGAAGGATGTTATGTGTTGTCGAGGTATGTGTCGTCGATGTGTGTGTCGTCGATGTATGTGTGAAGGATGGAGGTGGGTCAAGGATGGATGTGGTCAAGGATGGAAGTTGGTAAAGGATGAAGAGTGATGGTGACTTGGAAAGCCAAGTGATCAAGGAAGATGTGAGGATGTGAAAGAAGGAAAAGAAAAAATAACAGAGCTCGGGGAGAAAGCTGCCTTTTAAAGGCGTCTCAGAACGTGTACCTGAGGCATCAAGCAGGTACATTAGCATTGTATCTTGCCTTTTCTCACTTTTCTCTCACCTTACGATTCACTCTGAGCGTGTTGTGATTGTTGCTCGCGCGTACCCCGCGTTTGCCCCCGAGATCTGCCCCCTTTTGCTGGCGGTTCCCCCGTTCCCGCCCACTCCCTCTTCTTCCAGGCCCCGCCTCTGGCTCACCTTTTCCTCACTTCTGCATTCTGTGCCCTTCCAAATGTTTCTCTCAATGCAAGTACGTGCCATTGTAGGTGCTAGTCCTCACAGTCCCCTATTGTATGTGATTGTTTACAGTGGGCATAAACCGCCTGCCTGCCCCTGCTGCCCAAGTCTGTCTCCAACCCCACGATCACTCCAGACAAGTGGGTGCAATAATACTGCCAATGGAAATTCCACCTGGTCGTAGTTTAAAGTATTGTAAATACTCTAATCCCAATTGTCTAAAACTGCCCTGGGGCCAGGGGTCAGACACAATGCACCCCAGAGATCGATCTGCTACAGGGCCCCTCCGATCAGGCACGCCCCTGAGTGGGTCCTTGAACACGTACCGCGACGAGTCTGGCCGGCTAACGGCACGGGGGGTTGTTGTGATATCATTGCCCCCAGTTGATTCACAGACTCTGCTTTGCGGAGTGGCCATGGGGCAACGAGGGGCAGAACGGGTTCAGAGTGATCCTGCAGAG